TGTTTGATCGGCGTTCAGAACGAAACTCGGCGGAGGTCTAATCGGCAGACCTTAATTCTAAACAAATGAAGAGCAAGGAAGAGAGAGAAGAGAGCAAACCTGATTTTGACAGAGTTTTGCTAGAAATGCATAAGTGAAGAAATCGAAGCCAAGTCACTCTTATTTATAGAAAGGTCTGGACGGTTATCGAGAGTCATCATGAGCTCGGCGACCTTTCATATTTCTCCTTATTAATTTTAATCGGCCTCTTCGCCCTCACCTACTAGGGTTTAACACGTGTCAACCCTAGTTTTGCATGCGCAGACCTATGCCCGGTTTACATCACCTTTTGGCGGAAACTTTTCGCGCCCAGATTCACAATCTAACCCTCATCATCGGACCGATCAGAAACTTCAGGTAAAATTTTAATATTTAGTTAACTCTTTTACAGCCGACCAGAATGCATACCAAGCAACACCATGAAATTCACCAAGTAATGTCCCTCACTTGCCGAACTGGGGGGGGGTGGGGGGGGGAGGGACTTACTGTTAGAGATGAGATTCGTACCGTCTCTAACAAGCCCGCTATGAATTCTGGTCGGCCCGTTTAACAAGTTTCAGGTCGGCGATATAAAAAAAAATCTTCCATTTATCGAGCGACCCGGGAAAAAAGGAAACTCTTTCTTATCGGCAAGGAGAGTTTCCTATTCTAAACGGGTTGAGACCGACCTAATCAAGCTATAAATATATGAAGTCCTCGACTCCTCAAATCATCCAAAAATCATTGATCAAGACCTAGAGAAAACTAAGCAATCAGATTGTTCTAGCCTTTTGATTTACTTTCCTTAAGAGTTTAAGTCGGCGTTCTTATTCCGACGACCTAAACACCGTTGTATTCATTCAAGCTCCGGCTTCTTCTAATAAAAGACTTCTCTTTAAACCCTCGAACCCTAGTTCTTTCATAGATCGAACTTGAGTTTTTACAGTAAGACATATATATTTGACATGTATATAATACAAAATTTCATACAAATGAATCAATTTAAATGCAGAAAGAAAAATTAACTAGAAAACATACAACCCCTTAGAAGTCTACTATATAATTAAATCTTAAATTTTTTTTACTAGAATTATAAAAAAATATTATGATACAAAAATTATAAACATAACCAAAGCATAGACAATTGACATCTATATTAAATAAAATTTCATGTAAATAAACCAATTTATAAGTTTCACAAGTATAAGGTTGAAAAGGGTTAGGGTTTGAAGTTCAAAAGGGTTAGGGTTTCGAGATGTAAAGGTTAGGGTATTGTTAGGGTAAACCCAAATTCTATATGAATTATAGTTTATGGTTTGGTTAATGATTTAGAGTCCATATCATTGTTATTTGAACTGGCCATGAATCTCTTCTCCTTTCTCTCTTGCCATCAAACCCATCTCTATCCTCCATCCTCTCTATCTCAATTATGGTGATGGTAAGCAAATCTGAGGTTTTGTGTTTCTTTTGTTGTTTGTTTTGTGTTCATATTGTAAATATGGGTTTATTATTACATATTTGAGGTTCTTGTTGTAGATCTGAGTTTATTCTTGCAAATATATGCTTATTATGGTATAAATTTTGTATAATTTGTTGCAGATCTGATTTTTTTTTTTTTTTTGCAGATCTGATTTTTTTTTCTTTTGCAGATCTGATGTTTTTTTCTTTTGCAGATCTGATTATTATTTTTTTGTTGCAGATCTGAATTTTTTGTTGTTGCAGATCTGATTTTGTTTCATTTGTTGTAAATCTGAATTTTGTTTATTTTGTTGCAGATCTAGAATTTTTTTTGTTGCATAACTGATTTTTTTTCTCTTTTGCTATAGATATGATGTTTGTAAATATAGCAAATTTTGTTGAAATATGAACTGTAACATTTTTTTTTCTTATTGTGCATACCTGAACTTATTTATTTCTCTTTTGGTTTTGTTGGAAGCAGATTTCAGCCGCAGACTTCTCAAGTAGACTTCTCGAGCAGACTTCAGTCACATACATCTATTTCAGACATTTTATTTTTATATGCTAATTTTAAGATTTATAATTAGTGATCCTTAATTGTTTTTTTTGGTTTAGAAGATCTAATTTATATGTAAAGTTGGATTGCAATTAATGTTATTTATTATATTCTTAAATTATGTATGTTTTATCATATGCAGACTTCTTTGTCAGACTTAGTCATCACCATCTTTGAACCTCTAATAACACAATAAAATTAATTCAATTTTAACTATATAAAAACATGTAAAACTCATAACAAAAATAAAACATGTAAAACTACTTAGAAATACCACAACTAGTCTTTCTTCACACATTCTCTATAAACAGTGGGTATATGAATCATTCTCTGTAAGAAAACAAAATTCAAACCACATTAGAAATAATTGTCTAAAAAGTAGACTGCAAACGAAGTCTACTATGTAGACTTCAACTGAAGTATGCGGACTATTAAGCTAAATACCAAATAAAAGAAGAAAATTAATTAAAGCTAAATTGTAACAAAAAACAAATTTCAAACTCATACATAAGCAAGAACAATAAATATCACACACTTAAGAGTCAAATAATAAATTTTATTTGTTACAAATATCTGATCAATTAAATTTATAAAAAAATTAATGTCGCAGACTGCAAACGAAGTCTACTATGTAGACTTCAAGCGAAGTCTACAGACTAATAAGCTAAATACCAAATAGAATAAGAAAATGAATTAAAGCTAAACTATAACCAAAAAACATGTCAAACTCCTACATAAGTAAGAACAATAAATAACACACACTTAAGAGTCAAAGAATAAATTTTATTTGTTACAAGTATCGGATCAATTAATTTAATAAAAAAATTAATGTCGCATACTGCAAACGAAGTCTACGGACTAATAAGCTAAATACCAAATATAACAAGAAACTTTATTTCACCAAATATTTATAATATAAACATGTAAAACTGATACAAATGTAAGTACACTTACTAAAACAATAGTAAGACCAAAAAAATCTTAAAAATTCGTTGTAAATTTGATAAAAATGCGTTTATAAAAAAAGTGAAATGGTAGACTAATAACGAAGTTTACAAAAGTAGACTTGCAACAAAGTCTATATTTTAGGTTACTTTTGCAATTGCCAAAAGATGAGTAGACTTCTTAAAGAAGTCTACTCACTCCGAGAAGTCTACTCGAGAAGTCTACGTAAAAAAAGTTAGTTTTACAATTGACCAAACTTTGACTTTTTCGTAAGAAGTCTACTTGCAAAAGTAGATTTCTTATGAAGAAGCCTACTTTTAAAGTAGACTTCTTAGATGTTAGTTTTGTAATTGACCAATGTTGACTTTTCAAAGTAGACTTTAAATGAAGTCTACTTGAGTTAGTTTTGGAATTGACAAAACATTGAATTAATTTTCGAGTAGACTTTGTTTGAAGTCTACTTAGAAAGTAGACTTCAAATGAAGTCTACTCGGAAAATTATACTTCAAGCGAAGTAGTGAAAGTAACTCAACATCTTTCTGCATCAACCAATTCGAAAACTGACACCCTTGTTTCACAAACTAGCAACTGTATATCATAACCAAAGTCTTGAAAGCAAACAATAAAACGACTAGAAAGTCTCATATCCCTAAATGTATATTTGGAAAATATAAAAGAAGCAACAAATAAACAATCTCATATCCCAAAGGGTCATAACTTTTGAAATGATTTGGAAGTATTTAAATTTTAATAATTTGTTAGATAATTTGGTTGAATTACGAAAGTTATGATTTGATTTTAAAATTCTATTAAATTTCACTTATAACCATGAGATTTTTTTTTTTTAGAAAACTCCACCAAAACATCTTAAAATCAATCTAAATCTTTTAAAAAATTTTATTCAAAATATTTTGATAATAATAAATTTAAAAATATACTTTTAAATCACTAATTTAATAACAGTAAACTTTTTAAAATTTATGTTTCAATAATAAATAATTTATGATTTTGGTACAAATCACTCCAAAATTTACTTTGAATATCAAGTGGCAAACATCAAGTGGCAAAAAGACTCCAAATATCTAGATTCAGGCGTAAACTCTTGTGCAAACATCAAGTGGCAAAAAGACTCCAAATATCTAGACAACAATAATAAGTGCCTATAATTAATCAAAACAAAATGTAGTTGATGGTTTTTATTAAGAAACAAAATCTATGCTGATTTGAAATGAAGAATGAAGAAATAAAAGATATGAAACACTTACAGTTTGGCTATTGAATCCACCAAAATAAGCAAGGCGTTTCACATTATTGTCATTCAGATCTTCAGTGATGGTCTCACAACGAAATGAGTCGCAAGGAGACGTAGAGCTTGGGAACCTACGAACTCTGCGTTTCATCTCTCAAAAACAGTGATTTTCTGTTGTTGAAGATCTTTCAGATCCAATGAAGCAATATTTGACCTATTGACAATCTTTTCAGAAGTGTTGGCATTTGACAATCTCTACAGAAATTTTCTTTATTAATGCATAGGCAATATAATTTGCAAATTCATTTTTCCAAAATTATTTTAGCGATGGCTTTTGACCAATCAGAATGATTGATTTTGTGTTTGACTCAAAATTCTTCTTCTAGTTGTATGGCACCAGGTAGTCTATGATTCTATAGACCAGTTGATTTCTCTCTTTGTCCACCACACGAAAAAATGAGTAGTCGTACTGCTGGATAAACTTCATTTGAGATTGTAGAACGTAAGTGTAGAGATATTAATATTGCAAATTAGATTTTCTATAACCATAAGATGCTTTGGCAGATCCAAACTCATTTGCAATTGAACACATAGAAATAAAATAATATTACTGATGTAGATAGTTTAAATCTTGCCTAATTGTATGTATGATTTGTTAGAACAGTTTAGTAATGTTCTTGTATCAAAATTTAGTGTTTATTCACTTGCAATTTGGACCTTAAAAAAAAAAAAGAAATAGAAATACTAGAGTAAAATAAATTTGGAGACAAAAAAGTTTTATATTAGATGTTTTCATGTTAAATTTTTAAATGCACCTTAGTGTTTGTTAAAAGGTTTTCTATTTATTCTCCTTGTAAATTTCTCGAGAATTTCTTAAAAATAAGACTTACCTAATGGTTTGTCTAAAGTACATCTGAAAAACATTGAAAGAAAAACTACAATAATTTACACAAATTATTTAAGGGAAAATATCAAAATTTTAAAAGAGTTTTAGCCCGCTGTCTTTAATCGTCCACATCAAGTACCATCTTCATTTTCCTTCTGCTAAGCGGGCTTTGAGTAAGGGACACAGATATAGGTGCGGTGTCATCACCGGAGTCTGCCAGCTCATCATCCTCCAGTTCGTGATCTGAGAAAACATTTGGATCTTCTTGAGATGGAGTAGAAGCAGCATTCTCGCTGATGCGAACATCTGTTTGATCATTCTCCTCATCTTTGCCATTGCTAGACATATATCGACTAGTTTCATTCCTAATCACAAAAATAGTGAACTATAATACTGACTCAAGGAGATCAAATCAACCTCAGAGGTTAAACTTGTCTATAAACAAGATAAGAATAAAACCAGTGGGTAGTTTTACCTTTCTGTGTTGTCTTCATAACCTTCTGGAGTAATCTCATTGCTTGATCTTGCCTGCTTCTCAATCTTTCGAGTTTGTCTGCTCTTCCTACAAAACACAATTCTCAAGTAATCAACATGCATAGTTTCAAGAAACTAAGTTTGATCTTCATGGGAGGGAGAGCCATCTTATTATAACATTTTAGTTACCTTTTTTTGAATGCTGCTATCGTTTCGTTGTCAGATTCATCTGCTGAAGAATCATCATGGTCATCTTTCAGCATCATGCCAGCTTCTGACTTCTTACCACGAGGGAGACGAAGACCAAGTTGCTTTAATTTACGTGAAACTTGAGCAGTGGTATAAGTATTCTCAGATCCCAATTCAATGGCAATCATATAACAGCATCGTCTCTGGTCCTTGAATCTGCACACAGACAACGTTAAAGACAGAAACCAAGGGAGTCAATAAAACCGGTGCACACAGACAGAGAGTTAAAGCAGAGGAGGCAAAGTTTGGGACTCACTTCTCGTATAGCTCCTTAATAAGTGTTTCTTGTTCTTTGCTAAAGGGACTCGCTCTTTTTCTGGTGTTTCTGTTTCAAAGGCAGTAGAAGCGAGTCATTAGATCCAAAACTAAATATGTTAGGTTCGGAAATTTTCATAAACTCTAAGATATACTCACGAAGGTTGCTGGTCTGATGCTGCCTCTAGGTGATCTGGATCATCATTTCCATTTTCTTCCAGAGAGTTATCACCACGCCGAGGTCTTTTCCTTGTTTCTAGACCTAGCTGTTTAAGCTTGTTGGTTACTTGTGCAGCAGAAATTCCACCTTCAGGATCCAAATTTTCGGCAATAAGCCGGCTGCAATTCTTATCATCTTTGAACCTACAAAGTTTTCGTTATAAGCAACCAATCTAATCAAACTGTAAAGTACCATAGCTCATATGTAAAAATCTGAGTTTTTCAACTTCCAATGCTTATGAAATCTAAACCATGCAGAATGAATTTTGTTACTTCCTTCAGTAAATACTCATTGAACAAAACATACCTTTCATATAGCTCTTCAATTTTTATCTCCATATCAGAATCAAGAATAAGTCTTCGCTTTCTTTTAGATGGTCCTGCAGTTTCATTTTCCACAATGTGATCGTCCTCACTGCAGCAAGCAAAAATCCCAAGCATTAGCAGATAAAAAGGAACATTATCTTCAGCTAACAAGAAACACAAGGTATATAAACTAATATCATAAGGGGCAATTTCTCTTATATGAAAGGAAAACCTTCCTTACTTTTGAAATTTTTGAAATCCTTGATCATAAGATATCACAACATCAGCTTCATCATCACCTAGAGCATCTGCTAAGTTTCTGTGGGTCCATCCTTTGTCCGACGGCGAAACATGTTCCTCAGTTCCTGAGACTTTTTCTTGATTTCCTATTTTTTTTCTTAGATGGCCAAGCTCATGCAACATATATTCCGCATTTATGTAATGGCATTCTTTGCGACTCTTTGAGAAAAGAATTTCCACAAAGAGAAGAGGTTGGGACTTCATTTTCTTCAACATATGTCTAACCAGATCTGTCAGGAAGGTAACTATGTTTTCATAGTCTTTACAAGGACAATCTTTCTGCTCATCAAGGATCATATGGAATGTTATTAACAGCGACAGCTGCAAAATAAACCCCAGTAAAATAGTGAGGAAGTAGCCAAATAACAAAAAGAAACTTATCAATTGTGATATGTGATTTGAAAACCAACCTGATACAACATGGGAGATAGTTCCAAGTCTTCTGTAATCCTCCGCAAAATGCTAACTATGTGGTGATTCGTCTGTCTTGGGTTGCTTTTGTAAAACTTTAGCAACCAGCATATGTTTTGAATGATGCTGTTGCTTGCAAAAGCAGAAATAAATGTCGAAACCTTAAAATCAACTTCATCTGTTGCAGTTTGCTCTTCGCCATCAGAAGAATCGTCAGTGCCGCAAGACATATCGTCGACCACATGATTTGATTTAGGGCTGTGCGTTTGTGGAGTATCATCGGCTTCAGTCCCTAGGTCGATTGGTCCATCCTCAGTAGAAACTGTTGGATCAACCATCGGTATGCTTTTTGCGATGCCAGCTTCGTTTGATGTACTTGGAAGATTTTCAGACAGGTCATGCACAGTGGTCTGCTTATTTCGCCTGGGCTTTTTCTTTCTTGCTTTTCTTGACTTTTTTGAAACCTGGGACATGAAAGGGACATTTGGTTAAAAAATTCAATAAATACACCTAATCATATAATCAGAGTTTCATATCCAAGCAGTTACATACCCTCAAAGTTCCACGCCCTTGAAGGTTTTCCATAAGGCCTACTATTACATGGATGCTTTCCACCAGATCTCCAAGCTCACTGGCAAGAAACATAAAGTAATTTCAAGCAAGTTGAATTTACAAGTTAGGTAATTGCAGGCACCATCATACAAGAAAAAACATAAAAATGAGTTTTTTAATCAAACAAGTTCACATGCATACTGACACGATGGTGTATATATTCCGAGGTTCAGCAATTATATAGATAACACTACAACAGTTGTCAAATCATTTATTGCAAGATACTGCATGCCCTCAGGATTCTGAAATAAAAAGAAACAGAAGCAGAGGCCTACCTTTTGGGTTGCTTGTGCGTGTCAAAACTTCTCACCAGATTCAGGATGAACTGACACATCCCTTGATCAGTTTGGTCGTAAAACAACTTATAAAGCAAGATGCGGACAGTGAAAGCTTCTCTAGAGTCTTCAGGTACCAATCGAAGTACCAGATCTAACAAACAAAGCTGCATTGAAAAAACCAAGTGAACAATGCAGACCATGAGTATCCGCCATTAAATGCTGAATAAATTGCAGAAAAAATCGACAATAATTTTTTCATTTCTCCTACACACATGCATATATCTACAGAAAACAATGAGCTACAGCAGCCATTTAGAAAAATAAATAGACATCCAGAAGCAGTCTTAGGGAATTAGCCAGCAAAAGATTATAGCATGAATATTGCATACCATAGTTTTCACAAGAGAGCCTGCTGCAGATAGAAACTTAAAATCTTTAGTTTCCTTCAGACCATCAAAAGCAAAGCGCCATTTTGAAATGACAAGCGAAAACATTCTGTCATTAATTGTTGCTGCAATGGGCGCACAAATGTCAATCTTAGAAAAGTTTCCTCCGGCATTCTCATCGGTAGAAATTTCAGAAGTTTCTTCTGTTCCTGTTGCTGGCTGAAAAGAAATATAAGCCAGGTGAACCAAAAATCAAGGAGATTAAGCAGCACTGTACAAGCTACAGAGAAATAATTGCGGAGCAACTTAGAGAAATGAAAGGGAGACAAAACCAAAGTATAGCTCAAGTACTCACGTTAGAAGCCGAAGACTTGTGAAACTGAAAAGAGGTGACTGCCTGAGCAACCTGGAAGAAAGTAACAATGTCGCTATTTTGAATGGAGGGATGCTCCTTTTCTATATCTTCACATACCGACTGCATCAAAACTAAGAATATAGAACTCTGTCATCAGCATCACCATACTTAAAATCAAGTGTATAAGCAAAAGTCACTCCTCTATTGTGTCACATACCATTATATCCTCCTGACATAAACTGATTGATGAAATCATGCAGCAACTTCAAAACATTGTCATTTGTCACGGACATTGGTCCATGTTCCCAGACAATCTTTTCTGTGGCTCCACGACCTTTGTGAGGATTTAGTATTGTGCTCTCCTTAGCAGAAGGTATTCCCTTCAGTACAGCTTTAGTACCACCCTATAAAAAAATCTCATTCAAATTACAAACTTTTTTTACATGACAGAAACTTTAAAAGCATCATCGCGAGAAACAATACCATGGTAACACGGGTGAATGTCCCACCAAATTGTGAATGACGCTGATTCGCTTTGTTGAGTCTTGCAAGCTTTCTTTTGGCTTCCTCTTCCTCCATTAATTTCTTCAAACTATCTACAGAAGCCTTTATTCCTTGACCCAACTGCCAAAAAACAAAATGGTTGACCACATCATCAGTACCAAAGAACCTCGCTTTCGATCTCGGAAACACGTATTGATCCAGCTGAAACACTGACCTTCTCAGGTGCCTTTGCAATGAGCTCCATGTCTTGACCCAAGAGAATGTAGTGATAAATCTCTAGCAGAAGCAAGTTGTCATGTCTCAACAAACTGTTGAAGCCCTCGATAGCCTGAGTGATTACTAGAAAAATGTCCATCACGTTTTCACAGGAGAGGAGTTCAAGAAACTGATCCCTCAGCGACAGTAAGTAACAAGTGGATTCTCCAGCCTTTTGAAGCGGCGAGATATCATGGATAGCCAGTAAGTTCCTGAACAGAGTGAGCACAAGCTGAACCAGTTTCCAATCTTCCTCGTTGAACTCATCTCTGGAAAGAAAAGCACAAGATCGGATTAAGAAAAACAGTTTTGCACCACACAGCAACACAATAAGAAACTAAATGAATTTCCAATAAGACACTTACGATTCTAAGTTCTCGAGAGGGGTTTCTAGCAAAGACACAATCACTGCAACAATGTTGCTGAAAGTAATGGCAGATTTCAATCCCCACAGATACTCAATCTGCTGAGGAATATCATCAGAATCAGGCTCTACAGGCATGGTGAGAAACACCAGCACCTTAACTGAAACAATCAGTTTACAATATCATCAGATCACTAACAACAGTAACACTCGTGAAACTTAGAATAAGGAGAGGAAAAAAGCAAAGAACAGTACCTGCATTCAAAACTAAGTTTTGCTCATCTTGGTAATGCTCAATGATCGGAATCAAATCTTTCGAGACTATATTCCACGCACAGACCTGCTTGAAAACTTCTCTGCTCTGAGGATCATCGCGTCTCAAAAATCTCAGCAAGTCTTTCAGATTATCTGCGATTAGACCAAAAAGAAAAAATTGAAATTGAACCGGTGAAAAACCCATCGAGAGGAATCAGATATAAGCAAAATCAAATGGCGAAGAAAGTTTAGATTGATTTACCTAGACAGTAGTCACTTTTGGTGTACCCAATTCTTCTCATATCGTCGTCTTCCTCGGGAACACCGAGATCGCTGCAGATTACTGATAAACCCTCCAAATCCATCTTCTTTTTGGTAGAGGTGGAGATTCTCTCCTCCATATCCATTTTCTTCCGCAGATTGTGGTTTCCACTCAAACAAATAAGAGAAATCAAACTCTCTACGAAAAAAATTACAAATCAAATTTCGATTCAAAACATAAACATCGAACAGACGATAATCCTACAGCTTTGATTGTAATCACTAATCTCAGTGATTTAGGGCTCTTGTGGCGCGTATATTTACAGAAATGTTCCCGCCATTTCCTATCAAGTCAAAACAGAACATCGAAAATTGGCCCATGGGTTATAACGGGCCATATGTTTTGGATTATTTAATGGGCTGGCCCAAAAATCGAAATTATACGTTAGATTCGTAGTATGTGTCCTTTTCATCTTCTCAAAACTTTTATTAATTTTCCAACCTACTTTATATGATTTGTCACTCTTTCGATACGAACTAAGCATTTCCTCTATTCTTCTTCGTAAATTCCGCCGAGAAATCAAATCTTCACTAACTCTCTCCTTCTTCTGCAACGTCTAACCTCTCGAGCTCGTTGATCCTTCTCGGCGGAAACGGAAATGTCTCAGGTGGTTGCTACCAGGTCGATTCAAGGCTCGATGCTGTGTCCCAACGGTGGATCTGTGTCCACGAGATCCGATAAGTTCTTGAAGCCGGCGAGTTTTGCGGTGAAGGTTCTGGGAAACGAAGCAAAGAGGAGTGGAAGAGTCGCTTTGAGAAGCAGAAGAGTGGTTGATACTACTGTGAGATCCGCCCGTGTGGAGACTGAAGTGATTCCAGTGTCTCCCGAGGATGTTCCAAACGTATGTGAGCTTATGTTCCTGTACTGATAGTATTTGTTGAATGTGGTTAGCATATTGTTTTTCTGGAATTCGAGTTAAGTAGTAGTTGAGATAACATTAAACTATCCATTTCGCATTGATGTTTAATTATAAGTGTTGATGGGCTATTTCAATCTGTAAAAAAATTGATCTTTTTGTCTTTTTAATTAATCAGATTTTCAGAGTCGCTAAAGTGATAGTTTTTACCAGTTTGGGTGTGTTTTGTATTATGTTTCAAGTTAATTAGTAGTTGAGAAAGCATTTCCATTTGATTTTAACAAAAAAAAACTATCCATTTCGCTTTGGTGTTGAATGAGACAGGACAAAGTCAACGGTTTAGGGTTTTAGTTATAAATTTTGATGAGCTATTTCAATCTGTAAAAAAATTGATCTTTTTCTCAGATTTCAGAGTGGCTAAAAGTATTTTGTACTACTGAAGTGAAAATCTATTTCCTTTTTTTTTCTTTCAATGTGGATTAGAGAGAGGAGCAACTGGAACGGTTATTGGAAATGCAGCAGTTTGGTGACACATCCGTAGAGATGTGGTCGAAACCGACAGTGAGGAGGAAGACAAAGATCGTTTGCACAGTTGGTCCTTCGACCAACACACGAGAAATGATATGGAAACTTGCTGAAGCTGGGATGAATGTTGCTCGGATGAACATGTCTCATGGAGATCATGCTTCTCATAAGAAGGTTATTGATTTGGTCAAAGAGTACAACGCACAATCTAAAGACAACACTATTGCTATCATGCTTGACACCAAGGTTTGTTTTTTGTTTCTCAGTTATACTAAGTTTTTTTTTCACAAACTTGAAGGTTTTAGTTTCGTTGAATCTTAGGGTCCAGAAGTTAGGAGTGGAGATTTACCCCAGCCAATAATGTTAAACACCGGTCAAGAGTTTACTTTTACGATTGAGAGAGGAGTGAGCACACCTACTTGTGTCAGTGTTAACTATGACGATTTTGTCAATGACGTGGAAGCCGGTGACATGCTCCTTGTTGATGGTATGTAGATTTTAGTACTTTGCCTTTGTTTCAGTCATTTTTAACGTCTCTCCAATATATTAATAATCATTAATCACTGATGGCTCTGTCTTATATTTATAGGTGGTATGATGTCGTTTATGGTGAAGTCTAAGACTAAAGACTCAGTCAAATGTGAAGTTGTTGATGGTGGAGAGCTTAAGTCAAGGAGACACTTGAACGTCCGAGGAAAAAGTGCAACATTACCTTCAATCACTGGTTCGACTTTCTGTTCATTCTCTTTTTTTCTTGTGGTTTTGAGAGAACTGTTGAATATGAAAAAGTATGAAAGTTGTAATTCTTTTCTTCTTGCAGAAAAGGATTGGGAGGATATTAAGTTCGGAGTGGAGAACAAAGTTGACTTTTATGCAGTTTCTTTTGTCAAAGATGCACAAGTGGTACATGAATTGAAGAAATACCTTCAAGGTAAGCAAGTGAATCCAATAATTTCTGTCCTAAGTGAATGCTTTGCCTATGATTCTACATTCTTGTTCTGATCTTGATCATTTTGTTTGTTACATATAATTGGCAGGTTGTGGTGCCGATATACATGTGATCGTGAAAATTGAAAGTGCAGACTCCATACCTAACTTGCATTCCATTATCACGGCATCAGATGGGGTAATCTTTTCCATTAGTCTTAAAATGAAGATTGTGGCAAACATAAGTTCCGTGTTACTGCAATATAAAATTTTCTGAATGGAATGAGTCTTGTGAGTGTGATGCTTAATGAGATTTGTGTACTTCTTCCAGGCAATGGTTGCAAGAGGTGATCTTGGTGCAGAGCTTCCTATTGAAGAAGTCCCTATTCTTCAGGTTAGTGCTTGCTTCTCATTAAAAATGAACATGTGAAATTTTATTGCAGTTAAAAAAACTCTGATTGTGTTTTGATATACAGGAGAGGATCATTAACCTATGCCGTAGCATGGGAAAGGCTGTTATCGTTGCGACTAACATGCTTGAGAGTATGATAGTTCATCCAACTCCAACTAGAGCAGAGGTCTCAGACATTGCTATTGCTGTTAGAGAAGGTGCTGATGCAGTAATGCTTTCAGGAGAAACTGCTCACGGAAAGTTAGTGGGCGAGATTCTATTCAGACAATCTATTGATTTTGCTTATATATGGAAAGCATTGAATGGTTTATATTTATGAAACTGTAGATTCCCATTGAAAGCTGCTGGAGTGATGCACACGGTTGCATTGCGAACAGAAGCAACCATTACTACTAGTGGTGAAATGCCACCTAATCTTGGTCAAGCCTTTAAGGTAAGCCGTGCCTAATTTTTCTTCTTTTTAGTAACTCTGCAACATTGAGTTTATTATGTAGAGATAGTCTTAACTTTGCAATCTAAATCGATACTAACAAGAACAATGTTTTTTTTAATCTATACAGAACCATATGAGTGAGATGTTTGCATACCATGCAACCATGATGTCAAACACACTTGGAACTTCAACAGTTGTCTTCACGAGAACTGGTTTCATGGCGATACTACTAAGTCACTATCGCCCGTCCGGCACAATCTATGCCTTCACAAATGAGTGAGTTTTACTTCCATCTTTATTCTTCAAGAACATTTGACTGTTCTGTTTGAGAAACTCACAGTTGATGTTCTGCTCTGCAGAAAAAGAATACAGCAAAGATTAGCCTTGTATCAAGGTGTATGCCCCATTTATATGGAGTTCTCAGATGATGCAGAAGACACTTTCGCTAATGCTTTGGCTACACTGCTGGTAAACTCAAAATGATCTTTTAAAAAGAAACTCTGTTAAAAACTAGATTTAGCTTTTTCTGTTTTTGTTGTTGGTTGTGTGGAAAGAAAGTTTGAGTTGGTAAATTTTTGGATGTAACAGAAACAAGGAATGGTGAAGAAGGGAGAGGAAATAGCGATTGTACAGAGCGGGTCACAACCAATCTGGAGATCTCAATCCACTCATAACATCCAAGTCCGCAAGGTGTAAAGCCTCTAATGGCGTCTCCGGTCAAGTGTGTTTTGGTTTATCCGTGTAACCGGTTTCCGGTTAATTTTCCCTGCACGTCGCTTGTGTACTCTAAAAAATTTCTGTTTACTGTATCTTTATTCAGTTTGCTTTACTACGAATATGTGTTTTGACTGTTAATTTAGATGAGTAATAAATGTGTTGGAATCCTCTAATACACACCTATATTGTTGTCTTCTACTCGAGTAAAAAGTTACTGTAAAAAATGAAGTTGCAACTAAGTAATTGTGCAAGGAATAAGTATTAATTGAGGGATTTTTGTATCATCTTAAAGGGACTAACAGAGAAAATAGGGAAACACAAATCACGCAAACATCTGCTAAGAACACGCATAGACAAGATTTTGTGTATCAAACACAATGAGATTACATCTACATAAATTCTAACTAATACAACTCTGTTCATTCCCATTTCCATTCCAGTTTTATTTCAAGCTTCATTTCCTTGTAATAATGTCCTTATATCCAGTTTCAAGTCTGTAAGATATACAAAAGGAGAAAGAGTTTACCTAAGAAGAATCATCCTGAAACAAAGCCTTTGGTACCGAACTACGAGGCAGAGTCCCACACTCATATTCATCGGTTCGTGTTCGTTTGTTATCTGTTGTCACGGGTGTCTCACATACTCTGTCGTATTCCACCGATCTTTCTTCTTTCTTCCTTTTGGCCATTCTCTTCTGCTGATCCGCTTTGTCTTTAGAGTTCTTGGCTTGTTTCGGTGCCCAAACTCTACAAAGATCAGGCATCCAACTTGTGAAACTCGAGAATCTTCTTGCTCTTTCCCTCATTTCTTGTGCTTCGGCCTCTTTCCTAGCTTCTCTGCACTCCTTGGTCTCTTTCTGCAAAAACGTCTTCTTACTCGTACTCGTACCACGAACACTTCTTTGACTACGATGATGGCCCTTGATATTGCTATGGATGTTTTCTCTCCCTGATTGACTACTGTCTTCATTGTTCATGAAACTATCTTCAAGATCCTCGTCACTGAACATAAGCAGATCCATCTCTTTATAAATTATACTTACAGCTTCACCAAGAATATGATGATACCTGAGAAAGGCAAGTTAGTGCATTAGCATGAGAATACACATATAACCCAAAACTACAATTACTATTTCTCTAGGATGGGATTTATACATTACCTGGCTTTTATAATTTTGTCCACATACTTATCAAGGCTCCAATCACTAAAGAAACCACCGTCTAACTTGCACTGGATGGCCTCAAGTAGCATGCAAATCTGTTTTGCAAACTTCTGAGTCACAGACCCCTCACTTCCCAAACCTATCTCTGATCTTAGAATCTCCATTCGGAAAAGAATCTGCAGCTCGTATCTTATAGCTAATTAAAGAAAACAGAACAATAATGCCAACAACGTAGATAAGTGAAAGAAATCATCAGTATCTGGCACCAGATCAAAGCATAAACAAACAGAAGAAAAAAAGGATACTCTCTAATGATGCTACTGGGTGCAGGTTCATCAGACTTCTGCTCACTTCCCGTGGATGATGAATGTTTCTTTTTAAACTTGGCAACTAAATCTTTCGGTTCTTTCAGTAACATCTTGGTTAGCTCCTCAGTGACCAACAAGAGGGTTCCACTCTCACAGCTATAATCCTTCTCAAGTCTTTGAGAGGAATGAAGGAGACAGGACTTGACAAGCCGCTCGGCCAGTGCTGCCAAGTCTATTTCCTCAGACTCAATCCCTTGCTTGATTTTACTAGGAAGACTTGCGAAGAACTTTTCTGATGACTCTGACGCATGAACAGATGTATCATTCTCCTGCATTACGGATATACGATTTCCACTCAAAGCAATCTCCTCCTCAGATACAGGCAAAGAGCTAGCCTTTTCTGTCTCTTCAGACGAGTTGTGCTCTTTCTCAATCGCTTCTGCTTCCACGTCCTCCCGTGCATCGCAGTTACTAGCCACGGATAAGCTGCAACCTAAGGGTTTCCTAATCTGTTTCATCCAACATTTTAGAAACTTAAACTTCTTTGACTTGCTAAGCTTGGAAAAATAAACATCCTCTAGATCTATCTGACCATAACCTTTCACTAATCTGCAGAACTCCTCCCAGCTTACATCATGAAGTGAGTTCAGAATCTTTTTGCTTGGTTTTCTTTTATACTCGCTACTACAACTGAATTTCTTACTGCTATCTTCATTATCCACGGTTCGAGTAGAGACTTCACTGTCAAAAACACAGATTAAACCCGAGGAGAAAGTGAAGGGCTTGAGGATCCCTGTCCGAGAACTACCATTACTATTCGTAAGAGATACCAAAGCTGAGTAACCTTCCCTGTAGAGATAACTTAATAAGACCTGCCAAATGGGTGATGACTTCTTCGCCACTTTCTCACCGGTCTCCTTTTCTAGAATCTGAAGGACTCGATCAGCCCAAAATCCACTCTCCTGCTCCTGCTCTTGGCCAGAGTCCTGGGAGACCTCATGAACAACAAAAGTATCACAGGTATGCCTCTCAAGTTCGATAAGATCATCACACATCCTCAAGGCTTTAACACTGAGTTTGGTGATTCCATTGCAGAACTGCTCAACAAAAGAGTCTGGATGGGGTTCCTCAGGTGCACTACCTAAGTTTATGAACTCGCTACACCTCCTCCCACTAAATATCTCAGAAGAAGAAAACTTTATCTCACCGCACTTGCATTCCATAGGTTTACCATCAATATCTTCAATCTCGAGACTGGCCTGAACAGTAAATTTGTGGCTAGTTGATAGCTTTGAGCAAATACCAATTGTTGGATATATCAATCCAAATGGAACTATTGAAGAACCCAAAACAATTGAATCCGTAGAACAATGTCCCCAACCCAATTCTCTAATTCCGCTTTCGAAAAACCCAGACTTCAATCCCATTTCGCTTCTTTCACAAAAGCTATCTCCACATTTTACATCAATCCAGCTTAAGAGAATATCTCTATCATCAAACAAGTCATTCACACAGTCAAAGATCTCCCCTAACTTTGACTTGAACAGATCCACGTCGCTCAAACACTCGTCGCCAGTCTTAACATCCAGAAACTCAGAAACCCAATCCAAACCCTTAGAAATTGGGGAAAACATCACGACCAAATTCGACCTAACGATCTCTAACCCACCATCCGTAAATCCAGGAATCATACCTATCTCCGGATCTCGAACCACAGGCTCCCAAGCGTAATCGTACACGATCTGTCGCAAAGACGTCGCGACGTTGACCCCACGAGGTGGTGCCGCCGTGGAAGTAGATCGAAGCTCGCATCGTTTGACCAAGTCGAGGGCGCGTCTGAGAGAGACGAGTGTAGGGCTAGGGAGGTCAAAGGAAAGTGAAGAAGATGAAATTGAGAGTGCAGAGAGCTTCGATGACGACAGTAGAGAAGATACAGAAGAAAGGAAGAACTTGAAAGAGAAGAGAGAAGCGGAGAGAGGAGGAAATGACAGAAGCTTCTCGGCGGCGGAGATTACAACGGCTAGGTATTGCTCCGAATTGGGTGTGACCAAAAGCGGATTGAGATCTATGAGGAGCACGATACGCTGCGTTTTGGCGTATAGCAAATCTCCAGCCATTGAAATGAAACAGAGAGAAAAGAGAGATTTCGATTTTAGATTTTGGGTAGTGTAGAAGAGAGGCGGGAGTGACGAGCTCTAAATCTTTTTGGCGGGAAAAATATATTGCCACGTCTTCCGTTATTGGGCCTTATTCTTCTAGATTATAAGCCCATTTAAAATGGAAAATGAAACGCTCAAACCTCATTGGTGACGTGGCAATTTTGACCGAGAGGAAGCTAAAAATTGAAGATAGAACGAGAACTTCCTCCTCTGGTTTCCGAATTCCAGATTTTCCATCAATCGATTTTCCTTTCTGCCGGAATTTTCCCGGGAAAATCAGGAATTTTCTCGGAGGAATTTTACCATGAGCATGAACTGTGTCTCTACATTCAAATTGATTCCTTCAAGTGCTTTATTTCCTTGCACATCATCATCACTAAACCCTGCCAAGTTTCTTCACATTTCGAGCTCGTTTTCGCCCAGATGGCGTAGTTACGCTTCTTCTTCTCCAATTAGAAGGAAAACCCTAACCGTAGTATCTTCGAAGTCATCGGAGGCGGAGGATGTATCGGATACGGAGGACGAGTGGCTGAAGAAGCTACCGGAGAAGAACAAGCCACTGTATTCGCATAGCTTGCCTTGTATCGAGGCGTGGCTGAGGAAATTAGGGTTTTACCAAAGCAAAGACGATAGAGCTGTTTGGCTGATTCAGAAACCTGATTGGCACGCCCAATTATCTCTCGACGTCACAGATCTCTGCATAAGGTATTATTAACTGATTGCAATTCCTAGTCTCATTGAGATCCTTAAAATTCGATTCTTTATATTGAAATTTCCTCCGAAAATTGTGTATTCTCGTTCTTCAATAGTCTGCAAATGCTTAGACTTGTTAAAGTTCCTCTTTTTAGTATCCAAAGATTCCTCCATGAATGATTCTTAGTTTTGTTAAAGTGCTTGTGGCTTTGTCTAGTTTTGTAACCACAAGCTACTTGTCTTCAAAAATGAGGATATTGATTCTGGATTATGTTCGGTGTTAGTGATGTGAAGTCGATTGTTCTTGCTTGCGTGTGTATCAGTACTAAACTAGTTACTCTCAGGAAGATTATGATGTTGCTTGCATTTGAAATGTGTCAACATTGTTAATGTTTGCAAGTTAATCGATCAAACCAAACAAGTCGATACATTGCCATTACATGATCATTCATTTTCGAATTTGTGTATGTAATCTGCAAATTGGGACTCTTAACTAGATTTGTATTGTAACACAGGTACCTGAAAAGCGGACCAGGAAGTCTAGAGAGAGACATGGAAAGAAGATTTAGCTATGCATTGAGCAGAGAAGATACAGAGAACGCCATACTCGGAGGACCTTGATGAAGAAAGAAAGAGTTTTGTGTTGAACATCTTTGTTCATTGCTATTCCGGTGGTTTTCCTCTGTGTGATGTATTTGCTTCTTTGATCGAAAAAAAACCTTTTTATTTAATTCACGATTCATTAGCAAGGTACCAATAAAAAATTCTCAACTCTTAATCAATGTGAATGTAGAAATGTATATGCATTTAAAGAACACATACCTGAGCAACGAGCCTCCTCTAGATAGCGTGTAATTAACAATAGAAGAAGTGAAGAACAAGAAACTGGTGATTCCTTTTAAGTTTTATATCTTCAAAACTCTGACTTTCTCACCACCTGGACAAAAATACCTTACACACAACCCAAATACACACAAACGGGTTCAGCAAAAATCAAGAGAGGAAAGAGATTGAATATTCCATTAAAAAGTTTAGTTTAAAGGTGTTTACACCTCATCTGCATGACCAGGAAGATCTTGCTTTAAAGTTTTCGTCGTAGTTTCGTATATCCGTCGCTGTGGAAGTAAACAAACTTTCTGATTCAGAATCTGAGGAGTAAAGAGGTAGCAATGGCATTTCATAGATATAGAAAAGCAAGTTCTTACCTTGAGAGAGTAGAGTCCTTACTGCCACTCAAAAGCAATCTCCTGTCTGCAGACAAGCTGACCTGAGACACAGGTCCAACATGTCCCCGGAAAGCTGTGACGAACTGTCCTGTGATACCGTTCCATAACCTATAATTAATTTGTAAATTTTATTTCTCCATTTTAGATGGGCTAACATCGTAAAATCTTATATCCACAAGCACAACTCGATTTGATAATGCTTTTCTTTCTCATAACTACACTTCCTTAACTCTCCATATATGGAGAACAAGGTTTTAATGAAGTGACTTTCAAGAAAATCGAAACCAACGATGCTTTTTGAGACCACAAATCGTCCAAGGCAATTTCTAGTTTTATGCCGGTCCTTAAAATAGAGAAGACTCAAATTATTTAAATCAAAACTTAAATTCTGTGTTTCTTGTTTTCTTGTGTACAAAAAAAAATTTCTCAAATAGGGTTACATTGGATTCGATCATGCGTATCACATACGTCTCAGAGCTAAATCTCTACAGCTTTCTGAGTAAAATTCAAAACGAGAAGGCAAACAAGTTCTCTACTGATTCTTCTTAGTAGTGGGAGTGAATGAAGATGATGATGATTTAGAGCTCTGAATCTGATCATCTTTAGAGGTCTTGATTATAAACAGAAGCGTTTCCACAAGCATCGCCAAAACTAGTCCAAGAATCCCACCAACAGTACTCTAAAAGAAAAAGAAAAACACCCATAGATTCACTTAACCGTGACAGGTTTCTCCAGAATTTGCCAAAAAATGAGAGAGAGAGAGACACACACACACACAAAACATACCAGAGCAGGGTTGCGGTTGACAAAGCTCTGAAAGAAGCGTATCAAACCAAATATCCAGACTAACGTGTAAACCTACAAATATGAGTTTTGCAAGAAAAGCTGAATACATGTGATTCGAGTCTCACGTTAAAAACTGGGCTTTTGTTGGCCCAATCAAAATCTAATTGGTTCAGTAGCATCCCATTCCGTTATACAATAAGATGGCCAAGCTTATGTTGCATGAACTTGACCATCTGAGAAAAAAAAATGGGAAATTAAGAAAAACTCTCAGGAACTGAGGAAAATGCTTCACCATCGGACATAGGATGTACCCGCAGAAACAATGGATGGACCCGCAGAAACTTAGCAGACACTCTAGGTGATGATGAAGCTGATGTTGTGATATAACAAATACTAAGCTAAATTTAAAATTTTAACATAAAACGTTTTTATCTCCAAATTTATTTTACTCTAGTATCTCTATTTCTTTTTTTAAGTCCAAATTGCAAGTGATTAATAAACACTAAATGTTGACAAAAAAAATAATAAACACCAAATTTTGAGAACATTGTTAAACTATCTACATCACTACTTTTATTTTATTTCTATGTGTTTAATTGCAAGTGGGTTTGGACCTGCCAAAGCATCTCATGGTTATGAAAAAACTGATTTGCAACATTAATATCTCTACACTTGCGCTCTACGATCTAAAAGGAAGTCTACCGGTAGTCTCAACATAGTGGGTTATTCATTTTTTTCTTACAGTGGACAAAGAGAGACATCATTTGATCTATGGAATCATACACTATCTGGAAGAAGAATCTTGAGTCAATGGCAAAATCAATCATTCTGACTGGTTAGAAGCCAAGGCATGATATCATTTTGGAAAAATGAATTTGCAAATTATATTGCATATGCATTACACAATAAAGAGAATTTCTGTAGAGATTTTCAAATGCCACCATTCCTGAAGAGATTTTCATTGGGTCAAACACTATTGGTCAGAGCAAACGTATATTACTTCACTAAATAGGTACACTATTTGGACAAAAAATGGAAAGAGCGAAACAATTTTCTCCAAAAAACGAATCAAAAGATTATTGTCAAGGAAATCAGCAAAGACAAGTATACCTATTTTAATGATTTTGGTCTCCAATACTTTGAGTCCTTGAACTCAAACAACAAAACCTGCCTTGCTAAGATCTTTCATTCTATCGTATTAATTCTAGTCACTTTCTATTAATTTCTCTTCATTAACATAGGAAATCTTTCTAATTTTCTTTATTAACATTTAATAGGATGACTACGAATTTATAGCAAAATTACAGCCTTATATTCTATTGATTGAGAATACTACTTCATTGGATTATCCGAAAGATTTTCAACAACAAAATATCACTGTTTTCAGAGCTGAAACACAGAATTCGTAGGTTCCCAATCTCTATGTCACCATGCAACTCATTTCATTGTAGATAGAGAAAAAGGAGATGATATATCAGTAAGGGAGGATGAGATTTTGAGCTATATAGCATGTGCATTACACGCTGAAGAAATGATTCCTGATGAGAGTGTCCAATGCCAATATAAGAAGACCAAACATGGGGCTCAAACACCATTGATTAGAGGAGCAAAGCCATTTTCTCGAGAACAAGCGATAAAAGGCTTATTGTCAAGGAGATCAGCAAAACTGAGTACAGCTCTTTTATTGATTTTAATATTTTCCCTTGAATAATTTGTGTAAATTATTGTAGTTTTTCTTTTAATGTTTTTCAGGCGTACTTAGACAAACCATTACGTAAATTTTACTTTTAAGGATTTCTCGAGAAATTTTTAAGGAAAATAAATAGAAAAACTTTTAACAAACACTAAGTTGCATTTAAAATTTTAACATGAAAACATTTAACATAAAGCGCTTTTGTCTCCAATTTTATTTTACTCTCATATTTCTATTTTTTTTTTTGTGGGTCCAAATTGCAAGTGATTGATAAACAGTAAATTTTGATACAAGAATATTGCTAAACTGTTCTTAAAAATCATATATACAATTAGACAATTTTTTTCCATCTAAACTATCCACATCAGTAATTTTATTTTATTTTTATAGGCTTTCAATTTTTATTTTCCATGTGCTTTTATATATTTTGTATATACATATTTTACAAAGTAAAAAAAACTATAAATTATCTATTTTTTATTTTTTAATAAACATATACATATATTAGCCATTCACATGACATTATTTAAAGGTAAAAAAATAAACACTTATTTTACAAATTACAAAAATTATAAATTATCAACAAATAAAATATTTCAGCGCATATTGCAACGTCAAAACTCTTATACATTGAAAAGGTGAAAAGTTGTTTTCTTAATTCTAATTGGTAATAACAAGTCTTTATATATGTTTTGTTGTTTTCTAATTAATATGGTTTAATAGGTGATAAATATTCTCCAAGCCATTTGTTTTCGAAATTGGTAATGAATTCTTCAACATTGTATATGGTTGTTTTGCCAAGAAAATTCTCAGACCCTGGAAATGGATAGAGATGTAGGTGCTGAAATATCATTTTGGAAAAATGAATTTTCAAGTTATATTGTATATGCATTATATAATAAAGAAAATTTCCATGAAGATTGTCAATTACCAACATTTTTGAAGAGATTATCAATGAGTCAAACTCCATTGGTCAGAGCAACAATATATCACTTCATTAAGTAGGTGCAGTCTTTGGAAGAAATGTGAAAAGAGTAAAGCAATTTTCTCAAAAACAATGGATCACCCCCTATACTTCTTCTTCTGCTCGAATCCACCCAAACTCGAAACCTCGTTGTTCCCCCCCCCCCAACTCTTTTTTCTTGCTTAATTGCATCTGAAAAGCTAAACATGTTAATTGGCGACTAAATTACCCAAATCGCGTTTAAAAAATAGTGATTGTCCGAGAATCAGTTTAACCCAAACCCAGTAACCTGAACCCGAGTCGACAATAAAATTGACTGAAATTAAAGTCAAAATAGATTTGGGGATTAGGTTTTCTGTTCTTCATTGTCGCGACAAATACAGAGAGTTTCAGAGAGAATTCGCAATAGAGAGAGAGAGAGAGAGAGAATTCGCGATAGGGAGAGAGAGAACGGAGACGTCGCCGGCTTGGTTATTGTCGTCAGGTTCTAGTTCAGCTAAGAGACCTGCTCGTGTGAGGCGAAATCGAGATGGATGAAGTAGCCGTTGTTTTGAGGTAAGAAAGTCAAATTGTGAATGAAATTTAAACTTTGAATTCGTAACTTGTGTTTTTTGGATAGTGAGAGAAGGGCTAGTTACGAGATTTAGAGAGAAGAGACCTTACGGGAGAGATATTGAGGTTTGTTTCTTTTGCAGAGAAAACACGGAGAGTGACTATGATGGGGATGATTTGAATCGCGAGGAAGAGGAGAATAATGACGAAGATAATGAGCCGAGAATGGGTTTGAAGATAAGGAAACCAAAAATATGGATGAAGAGGAGGATGTAACGGGACGGTATAAGTATGAAATAGAAGAAGATGTTGCTGAATTTGTTGATGAGGAGTATAGGTTGAGACACACAATTCCAGAGAGCTCGGATGAAGAAGAAGATGAATAAGTTGTGAAAAAAGAAGAATGGGAAAGAAGAAGAGTGATTTGTTAGCTTTAGGAACGAAGTTCTATACAGGATATGAGTTCAAGCAAGTTGTGGTAAATTATGCATTGAGCAAAGGAAGAAACATCAAACAAGATAGATGGGATCAGACGAAGCTTTCTTATAGATGTGGCATTGCGGGAAATTGCAAGTGGCGAGTGTATTGTTCATATGATAAACCGAGTAAGAAGTGGGTTGTGAAGACTACGTACACGTCTCACAGTTGCAGTCCCAATGGAAAATGCAAGCTTCTGAAGCGTCCTGTGATTGCAAATCTGTTCTTGGACAAACTGAGGCTACAACCAAAATTAATGCCTAAAGAAATTCAGAATCTCATCAAGGAGAACTGGAGAATAGTAAGTACAAGGAATCAGTGCCAGAGAGGTAGACTGTTGGCGTTGAAGTGGCTTGAGAGGGAATATGAAGAACAATTTGCTCATCTAAGGGGGTATGCAGAAGAAATAATCTCTCAGAATCCGGGATCAACTGCAATAGTCGAAACATATAGTAATGCGGCTGGTGAAGATGTGTTTAATAGGTTCTATGTTTGCATAGCAAGCTTGAAAAATACTTGGAGCGCATCTTGTCGTCTAATTATTGGAGTTGATGGAACATTCTTGAAAGCAGCTGTCAAAGGAGTATTGTTGACTGCTGTTGGACATGATGCAAACAACCAAAACCTATCCTATTGCTTGGGCAGTTGTTCAAAAAGAGAATGGGCCGAATTAGTTGTGGTTAATGAACCTATTGAAGTATGACTTGGATCTTCAGACTGGTTTTGGAAAAGTCATCATCTTGGATAGAGAAAGGGTAAGCAAATTGCATTTCATTTAGGCGTTTTGTTTACTATGTTTAGTATACTAATTTTTAAAATGTTTGCAGGCAATTATTAATGCTGTCCAAGAGGTGTTACCATCTGCTGAGCACATAATGTGTGTCAAGCATATTGTAGAGAGCTTAAAGAATAATGGGCATGCAAACAAGGATCTGATAAAGCCGATGGTTTGGAATCTAGCTTGGAGTTATACTACAGTTGAGTTTGAAGAGAATCGGAAGGCACTGCAGCACTATAGTAGGAGTTTATATGACGATGTGATGAAGGAGAAACCAGAGACTTGGTCTCTTGCATATTACAAACTCGGAAGCTATTGTGAGAATGTTGATAATTATTCAACAGAGTCATTCAACGCAACTATCACCAAAGCTCGAGAGAAGGCAATGGTACCCATGATGGAGATGATTCGGAGGCAGGCAATGGCTCGCATCACAAAGAGAAGGCTGAAATCAGAAAATTGGGAAGGAAAGTGTTCAAAGTATGTGAAGAAAACTTTGGCATTGGAGAAGGAGCATGCTGACAAATGCACATCAATCTCTGTGACTCATGGTGTGCATGAAGTGTTTTTCTTTGGGAATTCTTACACAGTGAAAACAAGAAATCAAACTTGTTCATGTGGAAAGTATCAAGTGACAAGTATATCTCTTTTCCCTCTATCCAAAATAGCTATTTACAGTGAGAGTTATAATGGTTATAAATTGCATTTGTGTTTTTCATAGGTATACCGTGTGAGCATGCCTATGGAGCTATGATAAATGCTGGTTTGGAGGCTGAAAACTATGTACATTCGTGGTTCTCAACAGAGATGTGGAGACTGAATTACATGACTAATATGGAACCAGTCAGAGGACCACGGTTCTGGATGAAGAGAGCTTATCGCGTAGTTGTTGATCCTCCAGAACCTGACTTACCTGGAAGAAAGAAAAAATTGAAGAAGATTAAAAAGAGGATAAAGGGTAAGCACGAGTCACCAAAGAAGAAAAAGAAACAAATCCAAAAATTGCCAAGAACTGGCCGCATCATTCATTGCTCAAATTGTGGTGAAGAAGGCCACAATTACACGGGTTGTCAGTTACATCCAAAGAAGAAGCCGAGACAGAAAAAAAATACATAGACATTAGAGGTATCGCTTGCTCTCTTTGTTGTGTTTTTACAGTTTTACTTAATTTTGTTGTGTTTTTGATGATTATGATGTGTTAGTGTTTAAGTGAATGAATCATGTCTTATTTTGTTTTGTTTTCGTTGCCTTAAATTATGGTTTGTTATTGTTGCACTTTGATTAGTTAATTTTGATATTGGTGCGTGTTTAGTTACTTTTGTTTAGTTATACCTGAAGCCGTTTAGTTACTCAAGTTTTAGAATTAGTTTAGGATCTGGTACTCGTGTTTTAGGCTTCAGTTACTCATGTTTTAGAACTGATTTCTTCTTCTGCTTTTCAGGCTTCAAGTTCATCTCAAGCTCATATTCAGACTTCAGGTTCATATCAAGCTCCAGTTCAGGCTTCAGCTTCATCTCAAGGACATGATACAATTGCACTAACTCAGCCTTCACAAATGACTGAGTGATCTCTTATGTGTTTTCTTTCATGTTTCCGATCTCTACTTTTGTTGTTTTTTGACATTTTAAGTCTGTTGGATCTTGTTTTTATGTCCCATACATTTGAAGTCTTTGGATCGATTTCTTTTGGTTTTAAGCATTGGTTAAAGAGAGTCTAACTTTTGATTAAAAGAGCAGTTTTCTCATTACAGCAAAAGCAAACTCATAAGATGTTTACAACACAAACTCATCAAAATAACTCACAAGTTTTCAAACTAGCTCCAATGTTTCAGTACTAAACTAACCCATAAGCAGCTTTTCACAAATCCATCCTACTCCTCCAACCACCAACATGCTGATTCCAACTCAATACATACTCTTCTTAGTTATCTCTCGAGCCATCTCTTCAATAGTTGCATTGGCGATCATCATCTCTTCCTTCATATTCTCTTTCATCTTCTCTTTCATCTCTTCTTCTATATCACGCATTAGTTGGTTCTGAACCTCAAAGTTGGCCACCATATCCTTTCTCAATGCTTTCACCTCATCTACAAGCTTCAGGAGCTTTGCATCAACCATTCTTATTTCATCAAGCAAAGCTTCGTCAACCCATTTGAAGAGATGCTCCTCTGTTTTCCTCTATAAAATCGTTAAAGGCGGCAATGGAGATTCAGTGACAGATGTGATATAGAAAATGTGTTTTACAAAAACTCTCAATGTACTTACCTGTAAAGCGATCTCGCATCTGTAGAAATGCCGATACGGATTCTCATCTGTTTTAGAACAATATGTCGTGAGATTCCTTCCACACCAACAACTGGTTGGAACACCAGTTACTTGCCTTCGATGTGTGAAACTTGATGAAGAGGAAGAACTACTCATGGTTTTGATTTGTCTCTGCTTTGTTTCTCCGTTCTCTCTCTCCCTATCGTGAATTCTCTCTCTCTCTATCGCGAATTCTCTCTGAAACTCTTTGTATTTGTCGCGACAATGAAGAACAGAAAATCTAATCCCCAAAACTATTTTGACTTTAATTTCAGTCAATTTTATTGTCGACTCGGATTCGGGTTACTGGGTTTGGGTTAAACTGATTCTCGGGCAATCACTATTTTCTAAACGCGATTTGAGTAATTTAGTCGTCAATTAACATGTTTAGCTTTTCAGATGCAATTAAGCAGGAAAAAAAAGAGGGGGGGAGGGGGGGGGGGGGGGGGGGGGGGGGGGGGGGGGGGTGGGTAAAGTCCAATCAAACATTGACGCTCATAATTATGTTGCTCAATTGCATGTGAGTTTAGACCTGCCAAAACATCTCATAATTATGAAGAATCTGATTTGTAATATTAATATCTTTGGTATATATAAGATATTGTTTTAAGTGTTTTGTGTTGCTCAATTGCAGGTGAGTTTAGACCTGCCAAAATATCTCATAATTATGAAGAATCTGATTTGTAATATTAATATCTCTACGTTGACGCTCTACAATCTCAAAGGTAATATATCTGACCGTCTCAATGTCGTGGACTATTCCTTTCTTCTTGCGGTGGACAAAGAGAGACAGTAACTGGTCAGTGGAATCATTAATTATCTGGTGCCATACAACTGGAAGAAGAAGCTTGAGTTAATCATTCTGGTTGGTCAGAAGCCCACGCCAATAGAACTACTTTAATGATTTTAGTCTACAATACTTTGAATACTTAAACTCAAACAACAAAACCTGCCTTGCTAAAATCTTTGGCTATAAGGTATTAATTCTAGTCATTTTCTGTTGTTGTTTCTCTTTGCTATTATGTCTTGAGTGTTTTGTGTTACTCAATTACAGGTGAGTTTGGACCTGCCAAAGCATCTGATGGGTAGACTCAAACATAAGCTATATGACTGGGCCCATTATTTGTCTCATTCTCAAATATGTCAGTTAGATAAACTAAAACGATTAACATATTTCTGAAAGCTTTTTTGATCTCATTCATTTAGATATTTGGAGTCCTTTTGCAACTTGATGATTGCACAAGAGTTTACAGCTGAATCTATTTTCTTTTAAATATATTATATTCAAAATAAAATTTAAAATAATTTGCTTTAAAATTGCAAAGTATCTATTATTAAAACATAAATTTTAAAAAATTGTTTAAAACTCAGTATTACTGAATCAGTGATTTCAAAATATATTTTAAATTTATTGTTATTAAAAATATTTTAAATAAAAGTTTTTAAAAGATTTAGATTAATTTTAAGATGTTGTGGTTTTTTTTAAAGATTTGGATTTAAAAATGTATTCAAATCTCATGGTCTTAGGTGGAATTTTATAGAATTTTAATATCAAATCATAAATTTCATAACTCAACCAAATCATCTAACAAATTATTAAAACTTAAATACTTTCAAATCATTTCAAATGTTATGACCCTTCGGAATATGAGATTGTTTATGTGTTGCTTATCCTATGTTTTCGAACTATACATTTCTGGATATGAGACTTTCTAGTTGTTTTATTTGTTGCTTTCAAGACTTGGGTTATGATATACAGTTGCTAGTTTGTGAAACAATGGTGTCTCAACATACTTAAGTAACTCAACATCTCTCTGCATCAACCAATTCAAATAAACACGTCGGAGGGAAGAATAGAGTAATCAAAGATGGAGATGTTGTTGGACTTAAGTATTCACGTTGTGGAGATGTTTGATGTCTTCCGTGAATCTATCCCAGTGTTTGAAAAGCTGTTTCAGATAACTATTAGATTTTCTAACTTCTGTTGGTTTCCTCTACCAACTCTGATAAAGAAATCTCCAAATCTCAAAGACTCTCATTATAGAGGTATGACCGTAAACCCCAAAAGTTCATTGGCCAATTAAAATATTGAGAACCCTATAGAGGTACTCATAAATCTTGAATCTCAAGTATTTCTATCTGTTTTAGGATCCTTTGCACTGGGAACGAGGAAGAGATGGATTTGTATGCCAGTGCGTGTCAGGGTATTCTTTCCTATTGGCATGTCCTTTGGAGGTCCTAAAGATCAATCATTATGATGGTTCTATCGAACAGTTGGAGCAAGTGAAGCATTTCTTGGAGAAATTGTCATCTCTTGAACTGGTGGAAGTTCATGCTCGTGTATCTTCTTGAGCCAACCAAAAGCTACAAGTCATGGCGGATCTGCTAATGCTTCCCAGAGCTTCTCCCAATTGCAAAATCAAGGTTTAAGCATATCCGAAGTTTTGGCCCAAAAGAAAAAAGTCTATCCGAAGTTGACATAAGAACTTGTTTGATCATTAAGATACAATCTAAGTCATCAACATATGGTTATGGTTAGTATGAGAGAACCATTCTTGATAAGACTAGTTGGTTTTGCATCTTTCATGTGTTTTGTTGACAATAGGAACTTGTTTGTTTTGGATCGAAAGGAAATACAAAAATTCTATGTTTCTTGTTTTCTTGTGTACAAAAACAAATTCCCAAATAGGGTTACATTGGATTCGATCATGCGTATCACATACGTCTCAAAGCTAAATCTCTACAAGTCTCTTTTTCTCTTCTCAGTAGAAATCAAAACGAGAAGGCAAACAAGTTCTCTACTGATTCTTCTTAGTAGTGGGAGTGAATGAAGATGATGATGATTTAGAGCTCTGAATCTGATCATCTTTAGAGGTCTTGATTATAAACAGAAGCGTTTCCACAAGCATCGCCAAAACTAATCCAAGAATCCCACCAGCAGCACTCTAAAAGAAAAAGAAAAAAACACCCATAGATCCACTTAACCATGACAGGTTTCTCCAGAATTTGCCAAAAATGAGAGAGAGGGAGACACACACAAACACACAAAACATACCAGAGCAGGGTTGCGGTTGAACAAAGCTCTAAAAGAAGCGTATCCAACCAAATATCCAGTGAACATGGTGAGACCAACGTGTAACCCTACAAAATATATGAGTTTTGCAAGAAAAGCTAAAATATATATTGAATCTTTACAAAGAAGAGTTGATCAAGAAGCGAGCGAAAAAATGCTTTTACCGAAACCGAGCTGGTCTTTGTAAGAAGAGAAAGGCTCTTCGACTTGTTTCCTAGGTGTTATGTCTTTAACAAGCTCAGCGTATTCCTTCCTCTCTGCTATTTCTCTCAGCTTTATCAATCTCAGTTTCAGCTCTTCACTCTACCAAAAAAATCGGATCAAATCAAACATAAACACTTTCAAACAATGAAACCACAATCATCCTCAACTACATTCAACATAGGAGTTAACGGTCCAAACATAAATTTTAAAATTTCGGATTTTAAATTTAAATCAAATGTTCCATGAGTTCCTCTAATTTACCGAAAGATGATCTCTTTCTATTTGCCGGATTCTATAATGTCCTGATTACGCCTGATGATAGGGAGATAGATCGAAAGATGATTTAGTGTAGAATTCGAGCTTGATACATACCTTTTCCCTCGGTTTGGGACTGGTGAAGACGAAATCGGAGCCGGAGAAAATCCCCAACAAGTCCGGTCTGGTCGAAGGATCGGATTCGGTCCATATAGCGCGGAGCAATTTGTAGGGAACGGTGTTACTCGATCGCAGATCATAAGCAATTCCTCTGAGTTCCTCGGAGAGAAGACGATCGTCGCAGGCCAACGCGAGAAACGACCGAATCGGTTCGGTGGCGGAGAGAACCAGGCCAGAGGCATTTTTCGGGTCGGGTTGATCCATTTTTTATTCGGGTGTGCCTTTCTTCTTCGCTAATGTTATTAAGCGACGTTCCCGGTTTCTCACGCGCTCGTCAAGATCTCTCGGGTTTGAAATCACGCGCTATCAGTGTAACGTTGTGGGCTGCGTTTTGGGCTTTGTTGCTAACGGATCAATTTGTGAAGACTAGGCCTGCGAGTTCTAATTTTTCGGTTCCAAGAATGAGACACAGAGCAAGCAATTCTCGGTAACGCATTTTTTATATCGTGGAATTGCCAGCGAAAAACATGAATTACAGAATAATTTATTACAGAATTAAGAACTTTTTATAATATGATTGAATAAATTATAACGGAATTGCAAAATTACAGAATATACTTATTGAAAATATTCTACTTTTTATTTATATTATAAAAAAATAAAATATTAATAATTCAATCAATTATTATAAAATAATATAATTCTAATTGTAACTTTTTAATATTTTGTTTTCATAAAAAAAAAATATTGCAAACCTTAAATAATAGATATAACTTTATCATTAAATATTTTTTTGTAACACTAAATTATTTATTTGTATTTATTTAAATAATAAAATATAATTGAATAATATAAACATTGATTCCGTAAATAATCTACTTCAAACACGTTTTTCCGCTTAATGAAAAAAATTTTGTATTTTCTGTAAGCAAAAACGCAATTCCGCAGATCTTGCGTTTTTGCATTTTTCCACAGATTTTTTTTATTGGTAAAATTCTTGCATTTTTGGGTTTTTCTACCATTCCACCATTCCACAAATCTTACCAATCAGAGACTGTTGGGTTTATACACAAGTTATACAGAGCAAAAACCATGTTAAGATTACTAAATGTTATATATCTCAAAGTTTAAGGAGCTCTTTTGAGGAGTGAGATCTAAATTAAAAATGTAGTTTAGTCGAACAAGAAAATAGCTCCCAGGGATCAACAAGAGACAAAATGATACAAACTTAAAAATGGACCAAACATTAACATTTATTTATATATATCAAAAGAGAGAAAACAAACGATGCAAAAATGAAGATCGTGAGTGATGTTCGTGCTCGTGCCTTTCTTCTACTATCTAAAGGATTAGGCTTATATTATTCAAATTGCTTCTCTTTTGCCCTGAGACCTTTTTTGGTGAAACATAAAAAGGCCAATGTGTAAGAAGCTAAATCCATCAACGGAGTGGAGAGTGATGGGAAGCTTACAAAAGTAGCCATTGTTACTGATCCACAGGTGGCGAGCTCTTATAATGCTTTTTGAATTTGATGTGTGTTAGAGTGTGGAGTTTAATCATCTGGTTGTCTGTTGTTGTCATAATGCAGCTGCTCATGGATAAGACACATCGTTTCGTTTGTCTTCAAAGACGCTTGCTGGGCTTACTGCCTTAGGATTCTGCAAAGCAAATTTGACCAACAAACCCGTGGTTTTGCCCCTGACGCAGAGATACTTGCTGAACTAAGGGAGATATTGCAGAAGGATGGGCAAGCAGAAAACTTCAAGCAGATTCAAAAGCTTTGCATGCCTTTCCTTAAATTCAAGAAGGACGAAGCAATAGCTATTGGCACGCAGGCTGTAAATTTGAGGCTACCTTTTGGAGAGATGGAAGTTCTACAGAGTAACATGGAGTTGATCAAGCGGCAACTTGGTCTTGAAGAGGTTGAAATCTGTTCTGCAAGTGACCCTAATGATGTTGCTAAAGCTGGTTCACTTCTGAAGCAGAATCCTCCATCTCCGGGAAGTCCAACGGCCATCTTTGTTAACAGGTAAAAAGCCTAAAAGCTTAGTTAAATATGACAAATTTTTATTATCTTTATTTCCTATTAGAACCAGTTTTAATTTCTCCTCCTTACCGCTCTGACATTAATTTTCTGTCCTCCTGCATCACAGGTAGAAGCGTGGACATGTTTCAACTACAAGTCAAGTTAGAGGTTTGGAGTTTGCAGGTTTTTTTTAGAGTCCGATGTTAGTTTGAACTTTGCTGAGTTTGTCTTTTCTTTTTTTCCTGGTACTGTGTTAGTTTTTTAAATATCTTCTACTGCTGGAAACAAGTTTGTGAATGTGTCTTATGCTAGAACCCTACGCATGTACTTGTATTGTGTAACTCGGCATTGGCATATCTTGAGCTTTAGATACTTGTTTCGTCGACTCTTTGTGTTTACTGCTTTGTTTGTGCCTTTCTTTCTGGTGGAAATTGAGGTGCGTCAGTGTTTTTCATTAAGGCGTGTACAAGTGCTACTCTTTTTTTTTTTATGTGTTAACAGTATCACTATACATGTAGTAGATTCTGGATCTTACCGTCTTGCTTCACATCTTTGATTGAATGATTGATATTAAGGTAAAAAGGAGAAATGATATTATAGAAATTCATTGAATTTATTGTGTTTTACAAATTACAACTCGATCTATGCATACTACTTAAAACAAAAGATTAACAGAATCGACTCTCTAGAGTCTAAGCCTATGTTAAAACAATCAACAGACCAATGGAACCGTAACAGGCATAACCATCGTCTCTTTCGGATCCTTAGCAGGCACTTTTCGTGGTTCGGACATACACTTAACATGAACAGTAGGACCGGACCCATTCCTGCTCAAGTACGCAGCATCTCTGTACAACCAATCATCTTCCTCATGGCTAAAGAACTCTTCAAGCGGCTCAAAACACAAAGCACACAGCTTCTGGTTCTCATCAGCAGGAACAGTATGTTGTTGCTCTTCTTGTTTCTCCTCTACTTTGGCCTTCTCTCCAAAAGCTGCTTCGCCTGTGGCTCCCGTCGCTGCACTGAGCCATAGAGACTCGCTCGCGAACCAATCACGTGACTTCTTCGGTTTCTGGCTCAACCTTGAGTTAGTTTTGGTCGTGGTTGCTTCTTTAGCCATCCTGTTCTTCCTCGCGTGCCAATCCATGTGTTTGCTATGTTCTTCCTGACCTTTGAATCTAACCCCACACGAAGAACATTGCCTCGGCATATCGGAATACAAAGACTTGATCACAGATTCATTACGAACGTTAAGATTCACAGAACCGAAATCGAGACAAAGAGCAGCTTCATCGATACTACTTGAGTTTTGTTTCTCTTTCTCTTTGTTGTTGTTAAGAAGATTAAGTAAATCACACAACTCTTTGCTCAAAATTGGCTGTTGCGGCATCGCTTGCGACACAATTGAAACCATAGGCATTGGATTTGGAACATTCGTAAACACAGGTGCTTGAAAAGAAGGTGAAGGAGCGTTAAACCGAACTCCGGTTACTTCCGGTACGAAATTCGAAGATCTAATTGGAAAACTCGACCGGCTCGGAACCCATTCAGGCAACGACTCGAAATCATCAAGCTTACGATAAGGTAAAGGAAGCGGAACCGATTAGAGATTAGGGTTAGGGTTACGAATCTGATAATCGGCGTTAGATTGCGAAGAAGAATCATTGTTACGTACAGCAAAAGGAAAGCTATTGCTTGAATTAGAACCAATCACATCACCACCATAATTTGAAACCCTAGACAAATTATTGCTACCACGATGATGCAGAGGAGCCGGTTGGAATTGCGTTTGCGTTTGATATCTCCCACGTTTCTGAGGCGGCGCGTAACGCATCCGATCTTCCTGGAAACCTCCGCCGCCGCCACAACCGCGATTGTTGTCGTTTCGTCTCTTCAACGGCATCATCCTCTGAGAGATTTTTTTGGGTATGAATGTTAAGATATCCTCTGAGAGATTAAACGAGTAATGAAGAAAACCTAAAAAAATGGATTTCGTGTTTATGCGAAAGAGGGGTGAATTTTAAAAAATTGTAACTTTTGAGAAAAATAAGAATAAACTATTGCGAAGAGGCTACAAGATTTAATATAAAGCTGTATGTCGGTTGATCGAAAACGCGCGTTATATTTTAATTGGGCCGAGTTCGAAAAGCCCATTTAGGCCTAGTGATTGGGCTTTAAGAAACTGTTTTTTGTGAGTTGTTTATGGATTCTGAGAAGGCACTAGAACTTGTGAAGCATGGAGCTACGCTGCTTTTTGTGAGTTGTTTATATATGGTTTATGTGTTGTTCTATTTTTCTAATATATCATAAAATTTATTATTACTCGGTTATCATATTGTTATCATATTTTAAAATTTAAAAGATATTTACAAAAATTATTCGACTCGGTCTCCCGTTTTGTTTTGGTACACTAAATCGATTTTTTAAAATTGAAATTCGGTATTCGTTTGATTATGGTTTCACACATACGATAAAAATTAATGACCATATGATTTTATGTACTATATTATTCAAAATAAGGTTTTGTTTCGATTTAAATCATTCCCGTTTTGTTCGATTTGACAGCCTCTAATTCGAAGTACTAAAACATGCGTGCTGTTTTCTACATGAAAATTATGCTAAAAACAAACTACGGCGTTTTGTTTAGCATTGCGTCGCGACTTGACCGCTTTTGGTTGCCAGAAAATTTCAGATAATTCGAGTCGGGTCCCAGTGGAAAGCATTTTACTACGTGGCGTAACCCTGGCACGTGAATGGGCCCAGGTGGACCAATTATTCCACGTGTGTTAACTCAAATCACGGAGCTTACGGGGTATTCTTGTAAATATGAAATGTTACAATGGTAGTTTCATGAAGTGAGTCAGTCTATTCTATTCTGAATCTGCATATCTTTTCGTTTTTCGTTTTCTCCAATAATGGATCTCCTCCTCCATCTCTGTTACTTTCCCTAGAAAATTCCGCAAACCCTAGAGAGAGAGAGAGAGAGAGAGAGAGAGAGAGAAATCCCATTGAACAGATTGGGTAAGAGAAACAGTTTATGAGATTTCTAGAGAGAGAAGAAGAGGAACCAGGATTTTTTTTAAAAAAAATATCCTCTGAAAACTCTCTAATCCGATCGAGATCGCAGCATTTTCCTTTGTTGCGATACGAGAGTTTCCGAATGAAAACCTGAAGATTCTGGGTAAATCTCCATTGAACCAATCAAGGATGATTTCGAATCCAAGTCTATTGTCCTACACTTGCATTGCGAAAGGAAGCGTGGTTTTAGCCGAGTTCGCTTCAAAGGAGGAGCCAGGAATCGAAGATGTAGCTTTGAGATGCATCGAGAACACGCCTCCACACCATTCAATGTTCTCTCACACAGTTCGCAAGAAGACCTACACATTCGCGATCGACGACGATTTGTTTGTTTATTTCGCGATTTCGAACGAAAGCATGGAGAAACCGGAATCCTTCTGGGTATTGAATCGGCTGAGATCGGCGATCGAAGATCTGACCAGACTCGGCGGATCCGATGCGGAGACGTTGATGAATCCTGCTCCGCATTGTCTCCAGTCAAAGCTCGATCCAGTTTTCGCGGAGATCGTTGGTGTGGTCGATGTGGATTTGGAATTGGACATGGATTTGGTTGGATCGCCGAGGAGCGTGGCGAGGGAGAGTCGAAACCCGAGCATCGATTCGTCTAAAGGAAGAAGAGCCGCGTTGATGCCGCTTTTGGGGAAGCCGTTGAAGGCGTTGAAGAAGAAGAAGAGGGAAGCAAAAGGGGAAGATTCTGGTGACGTCCCCACGATCAAGGAGACTTCGGAGAAGAAGGTGGATTTCTGCGGGAATGGGAGCAGTGGAGTCTTACGCAAGGAACTGAGAAATGGTTTGTTAACAGATCTTCATCACAGTCAAAAGGCGAAACAGATGTGGAAGAAACATGTTTGGGTGGTATTGATGTTCGATTTCTGCATCTGTGCTGTTCTATTCGGAATCTGGCTATGGGTTTGTGAAGGGTTTCAATGCATCGATGGGTAAACGAAGTAATTAATCATCGTCAGTCTCTGTGTACATCTTCAAAATCACATTTGTTTTCAATCTGCATCAATATTGATCATTGACATCGTCACTTCAGACATAAAATCAGTTCATTATTTTTTTTTCTGGGTTTTTTCTCAAGCAAAGTTCATCTGGGTATTCGTTTTCTGGATCGAATCTGATCCCTTTTTTTAATCTTCTTTCTTTTTTAAAATCACGAAAAGTGTTGTTTCCAGGAGGAAACTAGGTTAGGTTGAATCCTGGTTTTACATGTTAGTGATGTTCATTGTACTTTGAAAGTTATTATCATTCACAAGCAACATGTGTGTTGTATTGTATATCTCTTTTTTAACTATATTTTTTCTCGTGTTTTTTCTTTTGCTGTCTACTCCATAAATGGTGCTGTGAATGAACGTGGGTCACACAATAATGGAGGACAAAGAAAGATGGGTCACACATTAGTATTTTACTAAATATAGTACATTGCATCTAAGGTCGGCGTATTTAAATATAATACTCCAAAAAGGAAATTACTAGAATGAAAGTGATTCCACTATAGTTAATAATTTTATGAAATCTGTAAAATTCGCTTACAGTAGAAACATGATTAAATTACAGACATAAAGTGAAACAAGAGAGTTTGGTTTGGAAATAAGAAACAAAAGAGGGAGAAAGTGTTAACTATGTGTGTCCCAGTCTCAAACTCAGCCACAAGGTGTGAGTTTCTTGTTACCTGCACCACGAGGATTATCGTCTTTCCAATCATCGAATGCCCTAGCTTTCATCACAGCTTCCTCGTCTTCATCATCATCTTCGTCGTCTTCTTCCTTTTTTCTCATAGGTTTATCATTGTGCCACGAGGTGGTGGCTTCTTCAATGGCTTTTTTCGTCTGCTCTTGCCAATCATTCATTATGTTCATCTCTGTCAACCCAGCATCCTCTATGCTCATTGTCGGCATCCTACAAACCCGAAGTTTTAATCTATAATCTCTAGAGGGTATATAAGTTTTGCGATGACCAAGATTCTGTATTTACCTGTGACTTGGTTGGAAAACCTGAGCAATCATCCTCTCTCTCTCTGTAGAGAAACCTCCACTAACGATGCTTGCTGGACCGAATATAAGAGGTTGGTGCTTGTGTTCGTGACCCTGCGATACTGAAGCTCTTCCTTCTAACACATCTTGTGCAAATGTGGCACAAGTGATTGGTTGTGCCGGTCTAGAGTACTGTACCCTTGCAGCAGCATCTCTGTGCCAGGTTTCGGCTTTCTTTGCGCGATCATCAAGAGCATCCCGCGAAAACACGTCCTCCCCATTCTGATCAATGATCATACCAACACATTTTCTCAATTTTACTACATGTTTATATCAAATGGATTCGTTAGCATAAAGAAAGTAACACGGAGGTAACTTACCTTCAACTGCTCTTCCTTCACTGCAGAGAGCATCTCCTCTTCTCTCTTTAGTAATTCCAACAGATCAATAGCCTGCAATGAAGTTCAACCATTAGATAAAGCCACATCTCGTGACAAACCTTAGGATTCTGATTAAATGATTTTTAGACCAACCTTGCAAATAGCCAAGTTGATCGTGGAGAGCCACGCCTGCAAAGAAAAGCCATCACAGATTCACACAAGGCTTAGAATAATAATGATTGAGAAAAAAGCATAGAGCGAAACAAAAGTGAGACGAAACCTCTCTCTCTTCTTCACTGTCATCATCTGGAATATCTTCATCTCCAGATTCAACAGGAGTGGATAAGGCAGCTGCTTTACTTGAACGTCCACGTCGCTCCTTCCTCTCTTTGATTTCAAGAAGCTTCGACTCTGCAGCCTTTTGACGTTTGAATCGAGCTATCTACAAAGAATCATAATCATGAAGCACAGCACACTTCGTTCTAATTTGGAATATAAACAAGAGAAAAAGGATGTATCTATATATACCTTCAGAGCTCTTCGATCAGCAGGAGGAGCAGAACCTCCTCGTGAAGAAGCCGCTAACTCCTCTTCCGGAACAAGCTCCATTGCCTCACAGAACGAAAAAAACTCCTGGAGAGATAAAAACTATACATCAACCTCCCATCCCCTACTTGCAAATAGCATCTAATGGATGAATCAACCTGCAAAAAGAAACTCAGCAGAGAACTTACCTTCAACTTTGCATACGAGGCCTTGACAATCGGAATCCGGACAATCGGATTCGGGTCGTCCTGTTTGATTTTCACCGTCAACTCGGCAAGATAGTAAGGTACCTATAACCACAAGAGAACATATCCCTCGTCACGTTAAAGAAATGTCAACTCAAAAACACACAATCTCCACACTAAGTAACTGGTAAGTGACTTTTAGAGAGCAGAATCCGAATTTCAGACTCCACATCTGGAAGTTCAGTGTGCAAAAGCAATAGGACCAGCCAAAGTTGTTCACTTTCAGCTTAATTTCACTAGAATTAGACTTTGGAAGATTCTAGAGTTACATCCTTGTTCTTTCCACACTATTCTAATACCAACGCTAGAATTGAAACATACCACTAAAAAGGCAAAACAACAGAAAGTCGATTGCATAGAGAACTTACCAAGATATACTTGAGGTTGTTCGTGCTGATATCTTCTTTAGTCTCGTTAGACGAGAAAAGACCCAATTTCCCTACCATGTCCTCGCACTTCTGTAACATCTCACATCCTTTCTTCACAAGATCCTAATAAACCCAAAAGGAAACAGAACAAATCAATCCTCAGAAAATATGTCCAATTCAGTGAAAGTCGCGATTCGAAATCAGTAGTTTCGGATAAACCCCCAAATCGAATTCGTATATAATAAGCTAGAAGCTCCCACCTGATCGGCACGAGAGTCTGAACCGGCGAGATGAATTTTCCTTGCTTGCTCGAACAACGCCGATAAAGGCATCTCCTCCATAGCCAAACCACCCATCACAAACGAAACTGTGATAACTCAAATTCCCAACGAATATGTATTCACAAGACGGTGTATCTCGAAAAATGTCCTCGGATTCGAGTTTCTTCGAGAAGTGTGGATCGGTGAAATCTGAGAAACTTTTAGGGTTGCAATCGAAATCTGACGAATTACAGAGTTCAAAGGAAAATGGAAGAGCTTTCTAAAACACGGATGAGCTCATGCCACGTCAAGTAAAGAAGGTAATCAGATAAACTATGAGCCGTTGGATCTGTAGACAAACTCAAACCGACCCAGTTTCTAAAATCAATTGCAAGATCAGCTGTGGGCGGGTATGCCTTGAAACGAGCATGTATTTTGTACATGGAAAATAAACGATTAATTACTGTTGAAAATTGTATAAGTTTGAGCAGTATCGTGAATTATTTAGCCATCACATGTACTTTTTTTTAGTTTAACCAAATATCGCATAAAAATATCACTTTTATAAATATTTATAAAAACTTAAATTTATATAGGTTAACGAAATATTTAAAAACTCTTATGAATTTATATTTTAAAAAATGGTAATATTTTTACTAATTATTTCACCCAGCATGATGAACTAAAAGAGAACCTTTTCCTCCACCACCAAATCAGAGCCACATTTTTTTTGTAAACGCTCAAGTATTTAACCAAAAGGTTAAACTGGAGAAAGAAGCGAAAACTGAAGCTTTTAGAGAGAGAGAGAGAGAGATGTTTATATACACATTAACAAAAAAATATATAGATAGAGACGATCAAATGGATCAAATGGATTAATTGTATCTTGAAAAAATATAGATAGAGACGATCAGATGGATCAAATGGATTAACTGTATCTTGGGTTATAGACACTACTCGCACGCACACATTTGACTGTATATTTCTCACGACGCGTCAATAGCTGACCTGAAATGAGAATATTCAATTCAAAAAGAAGTTACTTTATCAAATCTTAAAAAGATATGCAAGTGTGATTACTTAGAAGATCAGTGAGTAAAAGGGTTCTTACACTAACACACAAAACTCAGTTACGGAGATAAGGATAGGCTTGGTAAGGCAAGCGAGTGGAAAATTGACTGAAAAAGTTGAAAATTTATTATACTAATATGTATAGAAAGCTGAAGAGTAAAAATTATAGAAAGTTGTTGAGGATTTTTAAGAGCAGACCTCAGCAATTCCACAAAAATGAACAACATCCACGCTTTTAAGTCAAGCTTAATGGCAGAGACGAAAATGCCCATGAACTCAAAAACGATTATCTGATACAAGGGAAGGAAAAAAAAAGAGTATATTCCATTTAGGAACATATAAGAAAAGAAAAAGAAGATAAATGTGTTCACTTGTACAAAAGGAGTTGCCTGAAATATAATTGTTGAGATTATCGTAATGAGAAACATGTTCTCTCTAAGGATTCCTTTGAGGGTTTGGTTCCCAGTTCGGATTTCAAAGTCACCAAAAGCCTGCATTTTTATTTTTTTTGTGAGAAGTTAAGAAAAGGAGTACAAAACTTGAAAAAGACAAGAGAGATGATCACTTATTCTCAGATGAAGGCTAATTAAAGGAGTGGGAGAAACCGGACATTACCAGGTAGAAAACAGAGGAACTGAATATAAATGTATTCCTCGCTTTTTCGCCATTACCGGTATAACCAAGCTCCAGCTTCAGTATATTGCCAGAATTCAGAAGCATCGGAAATAGCACTAGGTAAATCACCTGAAGAATGGCATATCATGATGACACAAGCATTATTTAGAAGGTCTCACAGTTGCTGTTTGTTTCTCTAATTAAAAAAGTTATAACCAAGAAATTGTATTTGCTCCCAGGAAAATATGAAGCAGTAAAAAGTTTTCTCGGACAAATCAAGGACTTTAGACGAGATACCTGCATAATCAACCTGATCCACATCATTTTGTTTACGAGAGGGTCTCTGAATAAAAAAAAAACGAACTGAAGTTAGTTATACAGATATATGATCAAGTTGCATATATTCACTTGGAACAGATATTTAGTATTTTAACCACAGTTGTAAAACAAACCCATAAGATGACTATGTATTGACTTATTTATTAATCAATTCTTATCATTGATCCTTTTAGGTTTTGTACCTTATACCAAGTGGTGGCTTTCCCATTAGGTGGTATTGATCCGTTGGTTTGTATGCCAACGCTAATGCTCCAAAGATGTCAACAATGAGGTTAAGCAACAGAAGCTGCATCAGGGAAAAACAACAAAATGGGTTAGGAAAAAGGTTTCAAAGTCGTGGAAAAACTGGATTACAAGAAGATGAAGAAACAAAAAGGGATAAATTTTACGAACCTGCACGGCGATAAAAGGAAACTCATTATAAATTACAACCTCAACCACACATATAGCCAAGGTTGATACACTGACAGTGAGCCGGAATAGGACATATCTCTGGATGTTAGTGTACAGAGATCGACACCATTGGATAACCTGCATTATCATTGGAATAGGCCAAGCATTGCTTATCTATGTTGCCCAAGTTCGTCATTTCAACCATGAATATAATAAACGAACCTTGACAACCGTAGCAAATTTGTCATCCAATATAATGATATTGGAATTCTTTTTTGCTGCTGCGGTTCCACCAATTCCCATTGCAATGCTAACATCCGCCTGATCAAGGAAAATAGTAATCGTGGGATGTAGTGAGTATGGATATGTCTTTCAATGTGTAGAAAATCATATTCTCTTTAATATAATAACAGTGACAGACCGCGAGTAGTGTCGTTGGATCATCTATTCCCATCCCAATGGCTGCAAATACATGCCCTCCTTTCTTCAGTGCCTCGACTAGCAGAAGGCGGTCGCTGGGCGAAGATTGAGCGTAGACCTTCACATATAGCAGTGTGTTAATTTTTTTTGGCTCAATCCAGTTCCTGAACCAGTCCACTAATATAGACTAGTAGAAAAACCCTGACAAAACAAGAGAAAACCTAGCAATCTGACCAACATATAGATGAACAGCAAGTTCACTCAGCAAGGTGTGACAAATTGACAACTGATTACTGAAACCAATTGTCTTATCCCATGATTCTACTCGTCCATGTATGATGACATGACAGATGAATTTATATGTTAAACCAGAAATAGGGAATGCTGAATGCATACTCGGATGTTTCCGGCGATCTGCTCTCTGTATAGATCGGAAAGCTCACGAAATTGAGCTCCTGTCATTGTATTATGGCCAGATAAACCAACCGTTATCCCACAATCCTTTGCTATGGCTTCTGCGGTACGAACGTCATCATTCGTCATTATGCAAACCTGAATGTCAACATCTTACACTTAGAGTGTACTGTCTTCCGCAACAAATAGTAAAAGGCATCACCGCATATTATAAAGTACGTAATGGTAGATGAATTGTGTGGACTCAGAAATTACAATTACACCAAACTCAGTTATAGATAACAAAAGTTCAGAACGAGGAGAAAATTTTACTCTAGTACTAAAAGGTCAAAAAACTTTAAATGTCATTGAAGAGGAAGAATGGAAAATCAATCAGGCAGTAGCATAAAAAAAATCAACATGGCACCTTAACACCTCCGGATTCGCACATTTTGATCGCACTCTGAGTGCTTGGCCGTGGCTCCTGCTCAATATTTAAGACATTGGATAAGTAATGGATGATAGTACTGTAAGACTTTTATCTTTGAAGAAAATGGAATCAGGCACCAATTCTCATTGCTACAAACACTTGCCTCATTCAAAGTTAAAACTGTTTTCTGACACAATATAGTTGTAACAGATCCCATTCTTTCACATGCAGAGTGTGTCAACACCTGAAAGACATTTGCGGAAGTTTAGCACATGTTGATGCTCTAACGACGTTGAAGAATTTTGGAGTATAAAAGTAGAGTACCCAAGCATTGTCTGACATCATCTTAATTGTGGTACTTGCAATGCTGATACAATGAGGAAAATGACAAGATGAGAAACAAGAAGGCGTAACTTTCATGATAAAAGAAACTAAAGTTACTAAACTGCAATGACAAAATTAGAACTATGCATACTTAAAGGTTATGCCACTTCCTGGGTAGCAACAGAGTGAGCAATCATATTACCAGACTACTTTTCGTGTTTACCAGGCTTTTTTCTGATACGTATTTTATTTTAGGAGATCTCAGAAGGAAAGGAGACTTACTTCAAGAGAACAGACATAGAAAGTCCAACAGGAACTGTCACAAGTATTGTCGCGATCTGCAAAATTCATATTTTGGCGACAAGGTTACAAAGAAAGACCATATACCATTACAGTAGCCATGAAGGTAAAGTTCAGCATTCCCGTACCCCGAACTCCAATGATTTTATCACAAAGTCTGCTACTTCATCGGCAGAGGTACTCCCGAGGATAAACATTGGAGTTCCATCTGGTTTTTTAGTCCAACCACTAAAGTACCTGGGATTAAAAGGTTGTTAGGTCCTTATTACCAAGATGGAGCTGGAGATCTTAGATCTGAATGCAGAACATAAGCGCAATTGGTACATCGTCAAAAAGACAAGACTTACCGGCATAATTGAACAATACAGGCAACTGAAGCGAACCAAACGACTACCCAGCTGGTAATAGTTGCAAGCCAATTCAAGTATGCCTAGTAAAACGAATTACAGGTGATAAATGCGCATACTATCATAGGTAGCAAAATGAATTCGTGATCAGTAAAACAGACCTGAAAGGGCTTTTCTTCATCAGACTCATGTGGAATCTCTATCTTCAACCCCCATTGAGTGTTCACGCCAACACTTGTAACCTTAAATTCATGGGAAATAATGAAGTCTATTAGAAGATCAAGCATCATGTACACAGTAAGCAAGTACGGAAGCCAATCTTCCGTTTGAGACGAAAAAAAAAAATCTAAATTTAGAATTTTACAATATGATAGAAAAGTGTTCAGAATGACAGTTTAGAAATAATCAGAAACTTATACACACAAACCGTAGAGATTGCTATTTGGAGAAATATGCGACAACGGCAAGCAAGATTATTGGATATAAAAACTACGAAATGCAATTTTCATTTCAGAGTCACACTTTTGTTTTTTTTTCCCCTAACTCCATGTTTCCAAATTTGTGTTTCTGCACCGCACACAAGAAGACAATTCTAGATGACTTCTTTTTATCTCAACTACACGTTATTCCAGATCAATAAATCTCAGCTTTACTGGTAAAAAACACAACCTAGAATACTTTGCTTATGTTTTTTTTTATCTAAACAGCATTTTGCAGAAACACGGAAACGCTTCCAATGCAGAATTATTTTGGTACGAAGAGTCTATTATGGTTATTATAGCCTCATCCATGTCAAAGTGACTTACCACTTTCAAGATAGACCTCATATTTACTTAAAGCAGTAATATCTATAAGGTGGATGTGTGAAGTATGAAACGAAATGAAGAGACGTGGCTCGAGAGCTTACCAGCATTGTACCTGTGCCCTCTATCACTTTTGAACGAGATAATAGGAATGGATCCTTTGGAAGATCTTTTTCAACCTGCTAATTGAGAAGAGGGATTAGAAATAAAGGAAAAGTAATGGTTTAGCGCATCAACAAGGGTACATCATACAATTACGTGCGAGCCAGTTATTTCTTGCTCGTCGATCTTCAATGAGTTTGCAACAAACAGGACACCATCTGCAGGCACCTGAAGCATCCATCATACCTCAGACCAATTGCGAAGCTCAAGAAAAACAAGCCAAACAATGCTGTGATGCTTACCTGATCACCATTCTTGAGAGGTACAATATCCCCCACAACGACATCATAAGTAGAAACTGAGACTGTTTCACCACCTCGAATGACCTGCAACGGAAAACGCTCAGCACAAATTGTGGGCAACACGAAACACAAAATGACGTAGAACACACCTCTAGGGTTACGTTTCTCTTCTCCTCACTAAGCTTTTGAAACTGGCGAGACTGCTTGTAGTCGGTGATAGCTGCCAAATGGGTGAGTAACAAAACAAGTCATATTGTTTCCATATTCTCTTGTCTGAGATGAGAATTGAAGTACAACAACAAGTTTTAAATTTGGCTAAGCAACTCAAGAGCATCAAAGATACCTCTCACAATGATGTCAAGGAAAGTGGCCAAAATGGCGCAAGCTCCAACATACGATCCATCGTGGACAGCCTGCAAGTGTCATACGAGTAAGATATAGGAAACAAATTCAGACGGAAGATTTAGAAGGGGCCACATCTAAAAAGAGTCCCCCTAAAAAAAAAAGACACATGATATATGGCTAAATAAAAGGACGAATCTACACCACAGCAACACAAGGTTGTTGGTTATGACAGCTGTTTTTGGGTAACAGTAAACCAGTGAGACAGAAGTGCATAAGTACATGAATTGTTGCAGTCAAAGCGAGCAGATAAACTTAATTACGAAAGGTAGACGATTAGGTCATCTTGTAGAGAAAGAGCTCACCTTTCTTTTGATTCGCAGCAGAAAATTAATTACAGCAGCAACGATCATAACCAGGGAAGGAGGAAACTTGCTAGCTTTCCAGATAAAGCTCTACAACATCCAAAAATCAAAAAATGGGTTTTCAATTGAAAAGATTAGCCACAAAACATTCTTGTCTTTGGCATACCCAGAAACGCTTGTCCTTTTTGAAAGGGCATGCGTTTGACCCAAAGGCCTCCGTGCGCTGCAGTATCTCATCGTCGCGCCGATCTATGCCCCTTTCGAGGTCAGTCCCCAGCCGAGTTGATAATCCTTCAACCTTTGTATCATCAAATTGTAGTAAATCAGAGGACAAACCCTAAGCAAACAAAAAGCAGAGAATTCACTGATTGACACGCAAGAATTGATTGAAGAAGTATTACCCCATGATATCGAATTAAAGCTTCAAGGCTACGAACTTTGACCACTTCTTCGAAAGTAATCCCAAACCCTCCAGGAGTTAAGGTTGCTGTTGAAAAATCCGGGTGAAACGACGAACAGAAAGAGAAACGAAATCGATCCGTCGTGGAGTTTGGAGAATGAAAATACAGTATACTAGTAATAAAAAGAGAAATTAGAAAAGAAAAAAAAAAAACTAAGGGCACCCTCATCGGTGGTATCTCACCATGGTATCTCAGAATAAAATAAAGGAAAAAATTAGAAAAGCAAAAAGCAAAAAGAATGAAGAGAGAGAGATAGAACGGTATCTACTATCTATGAGATACCCAACAATAAATATTCACTTATTCAGAAACGTATATGTGACACGTTTTGCTTCTGATCTTTTAACAGTTTAAAATTTAATTATTTAATTAAATGATAGTAAAATTGTTAATTTTATATTTGTTATATACCTATTTATGGTATCTGACCAGTGCGATTGCTCTAAGAGTATTTATTCAAACAAATATAATCTCAGGTTTGGCGAGGAAAACAAGAAAATAGGAGTGTATATTGTTATTACCGTTTGCTGCTTCTGATTCTGGGTGATCATGTACAGACTTATGATTATCACATGAAAAAAAAAATCATAGTAAGAAAAAAAAATTGTGATTATAACCAGACAACCTTACTAAATGGAGAGATCTAATTAAGCTTACTGCTTGATCATTTGCTTTGCTCCTCCTCAACATCCACGTACACTGTAATAAGAAGATTCATAGCTGAACGGATTAAACAAGAACCAGACTAGCTGAACAGATTCATTCCTACCGTGGAAGAAAAATCACTCACCCTCCACGAGCTCGGACGATCGTGAGCTTCAGAGTCGCCGTCCTGGCCGTCGGTACCGGCTTCCAAGTCGAATGACGGATCTTCAGCTTGAGGGGCAGAGGCACCGAGACGGGTTTTCAAGTCCTGTGGAAATGCAACATCATGAGCTGTGGAAACATAGTAGCCGTCGAGACTAACAGCCAGATCTTCTGGGCCTCCTTTGGATGGCCTCTCGGAGAATCTGTACATTCTAAAATCAGTTGCTGGGACAATATCGTTAGGCGTTAACTTCTGATCGGCGATATTTCGGACGGCCGTTAACCTTGGAGAAGGTAGCTAAGTAGCTCTACTGTCGGGTCTTTTAAGGAAGTTTAGTAGATCTTTTTGTTCGTTTTAAGATATGAAAAAGGTCTATAATATATATAGGCAAAATAAGGAAACTTCCGGGAAAGGTGTGTGCAGCGACGGTGGTGATCAAGAGCAAAAAGTAGGCAAAATAAGGTGATGAAACGAAAAGAAGAAAATATACAGGGGCGGACTTAGATCGAGAGATTCTTTTAAATTATATTCTATGTTGAACGTTGGTATGGTTTTTTCTGCATCTAGCGTCGTCAACGTGAGATATTCAAACTCAAGCATATTTTCTCTATTCGAGAGCATCCACAATGGTTAAATTTTTAATGCAAATATCTTAACAATTATTTTATTATAATTTAAAATATATTATTAAATTTTAATATTTAAAAGGAATTGTACTAATCAGAACAAAACAATTGAATAAGTGAATATCTTAAAATTTTAGAATTAGTTTTTATTTGAGAGATTTTAGATACTTCTTTCTCATGTTTCTCTTTAACTTTTTAATATTTTCTTTTTTTAATACTAAGATATTCTTGTAAATTTTTTTGGTCAATGATGCTACATCATCGTGAAGAAAGCAAACATATGTCATCGAAGCTTTGATTTTTAAGTCGGTTTTGTGTTTTAATTTACAAAAGGATTATTTACTTTATTTTGTGTTAAGATACTCTAAATAACTATATTTAATATTGGATGAAAAATATATTTAAGATTTATTTTTTGGTAAATATATTTGTATATAAAGAAATTATTATTTTGAACATAATTACAAATTACATTTAAATATTTTTCGATAAAACATTTGAAAGATATCTCTTTTCACATTACTTTATTTACTGACATGTCGCCATAGGTTAAGGATTTCTTCCTCACTTGTGACAAACAAAAAATGAAATGAAAAAGGTTTAACGGATGTCATTTGATCAGTGATCAAATTTTAAACGTCCATGAATAGTTAAACTATGTCAAGGTGAAACACTAATTATTACTTCGATAAACTAAGAAGTATGAGCAGCAAAGTTTTGTGTTAAATAATCCAATCTGAAGCTTATAGGGACTCTTCAATTTTTATGACACCGATGTATGGACATAAGTAAGAGCACTGGATGGTTAGGTTAGTCCAAAATGGCTGAGTAGCTGTCTGAAAGATTTGCTTCTAAGTTTTATCTCATTAGTGTATTTGTCCCAACTACCAGGTCATTGATCTGTTCAACAAAATATTCATAAACACAGGAAAATAGCCATAGAAGAAAAAGTAAAAGCGGAAGAAGAAGGACGTTGTTACCGTACCATTGAAACAATCGGATGTGTTCGTCTGTGAACTTGCCATTGTTTTTAACATGTAAGGAAAAGGCCGTTGTGGAAAATTTTCGTTTGCAAAACCCAAAGTTTTTTTTGATAAAATGCTCAACTCAAAATTCTAATAGTAGAATAATAAAATGAGAGAGAAAATTGTTAGAGAAGAAAATAACTTAACCGACTAAAAAGTTATGATATGTTATCCTTCCAGTGTTCAGCCATACCCATTGACCATTGTCGATCAATCATATTGGAGATGCTTTGTGTGATGGTCTGCTACGTTTAACCAATATGAGTCATCAGCGTGTTGAAAGATGAATACACCATTTTAGGAAAGAGATCAGCAAAAAAAACACTATCTAGAAAGAAGCCATGTCAGCGCTCTAAATCTCTCCCAAACAAAAGCCACGTCAATGTCTCATAAGTCATAGCTTTGGAGAATACTTTTGAACACTTCGGCTCCTTCAATCGTAACACATGATATGATTGATATCCCTCAATAATTCCCACATTATGCCTTTGTTTTCTACTTTATAACGCAGCTTCCATTAGCTTAAACTTCATTTTCTCCCCATTTCACTTCAAATTTGGGATTTCTTTCTACCAGAAATCGCTTTCAGATGAAAAACATCGACGTAAGAAATGTAACTGACAAATAAAGATTTTGTGTCATCTCCAAATCTCAGATGTGGTCCGCTTTCATGAAGAAAGTAATATCAGGTATGCTTTCTCTGCCAATCAATCTCATTATTTCATACCATCGTGAGAGGTTCTGAATTACTTCAATCCATAATCCATTTAAAACTTATTTGATTTCATGAAGTTTTTAAATTGTCGTTGTGGTTTGGGGAAAAGAGAATGTGAGTCAATTGATTTCTGATGTTTCTAATGATACACGAATATGCTCGATATCTTCCGTAAGTTATTAGATCTCAAGAAAGACGCAACCTCATTTCAAATGGAAGAAGTATGCAAAACGTATTTACTGGTAGGTTGATTCATGCGTTCTCTACGTATACCAGTGGTAAAATCAATATATGATAATCCGCCACAAGTTTTATTAACCCATGCTTATCTTAATAGTAATTACCTACATTCATAATAGGATGACTACAAAATGAGGATGATTATTTAGTCCTCTATTTTGCCAGAAATATTTTTATAACTTTTTCTTTTTGGTGGAAATGTTGCAACTATATGTCATGAATTCTGAAGATTGCTCTCTGATTATTTTTGTTTACATCGAAAAAAGGGTCTCACCGGCCCTCCTTGAAGGACAATACTCTAAGAACGGGAAACATTGACAACTGGTTATCTTTCTTCTTTTTTGGTAAAGACTATCTTCCATCACATGTGTAAACTGGTATCTATTTTCATATATTTAATAGTACTTTGTACGGTACAATTGTTTTTTTTTCCATTGTAAAATTTCAGGGATTTATATTATATTAAAAAAAATAGTATTAATGTCTAACAAAAACGGATCAATAAGTCGGATGATCTTCAGAGCTATTCAAGATTTGGACCACTAAAGGTCGCATGTTTATCTTTAGTTTCCGAAATCTGTGTAGAGTTTGAATCTATCAGACATTTGTCAAATGCTTTCTACAAAGATTATTGTTATTGTTCAACGTGATAATAAATTTGCAGTGAACGTCAGGAGTCTTAGTTGCTGTTTACAAAGTCTATCACCGCTACCCATCGCCAACTATATATTTGTCCTTTCTTGATTTGTTGTTATGTAGTTTCATAGTGTAATTCCAATCTCTATCTCTATTTTCACTTTCTATAGTTTTCCACTCATTTTATGAGTTTCTTTCTCCTGTCTTTTACATATTTGCGTCCTTATTAAACATATTAATTTGTAAACAAATGTATAAGTTTTTAGTTATTACGGCAGGTATTGGTGTGAGATAAATTGTAGAAAGGGGAGGGTGTAAGAGAGGCCAATTACAAAGAAGATCTTTCCATGTAAATAAGGATATAACTAATTGCTAGACACATTATAAAGTTGGTTTGATGAAAGTGGTCCAACATAACATTAACTCTATATGTAATCACTTGATTAGCTGTAACTATGTAACTTACAAAAGCTAATAAATCTAATCACCCACCAAAGAGAGCAACCACAGCCGTAAACATATTATTTTTAACTCTCCATTTAATATCAATATGTAACTTTATAACTGATGATACTAGTTTCCAAAGAATAAGGGAATTGGGGTTAGGCAGGTGACAAGGGATAATAAAATTGGAACCAAAGTGGGACCGTTGACTTAACCGGATACATTGTTCGGTTGGAATATCGACTAGCAACAAACTTATTTCCCTGGCACCAATCAATCCAATCATTGTCGATTACGTAGAGGTTTTAAACACAAATCTCCAACATCCTTTTGCAAATCATAATCTTCAAATTCTTTCGCAAATCTGATTCTAAGACAAACGTTTAATATTTCTATTCAATATCTTATGTTTGGAGTCAATAGAGCATATTGTTTTATATATGTACGTGCATTCATTCAAGAAGTTGTTTGAGTATATTACGTGCACTCATACATGAAAGTTGTTTGGTGAAGATTAAATGTTTTTGGAGAAAAATATACATGTTAAAAGTATATGTAAACAAGCACATCTAACTTATTCACAATAATTAATCATAAATTGGATGAGGGATAGTTTAAAATATATGTTGCTAAACATGAAATTATGGATACTTATGATGAATATTTCACATAAATAATTTTCAAACTCTTAAAAAGTTGAATTTATAAATTTTAAAGAAAAATAAAAAAGTAATTATGATTTCTATACAATAAACATTTAACTGTTTTTAGATCTATAAAATCATAAACACTATTTCTTTTTTTTTTTGGCAGAATCATTAACATTATTATGATACCAGTTTCCTCTTATCAAAATAATATAATAGACTTGTGCCTAGCTCGGATTGTAAGTGTAGAAAACAGGCACACTCAATCAGTGACTTGGAAAGCGCCAAATCCAAACGCTAGCTTTTATTATTTCGAATCAACAACTTAATCAATCGATTACAATTGTTTTAAAATTATGCAACTCTAACTTAGAAAACAACCAATCAATTCCTACTAATAAAACCTACTCTTCACTCGATCACACAGCTCGTGTATCAGAGAAGAGGACACTAACCTTCTTACTTTTTATTTTGCTTGAAACACAAGGTATACTAGATCAATTGCAGCGCAAAGTGTATCTGTCAAACTTTGCCCGACTTCTCTATATATACTACCTAAGTCTAAACCTAGAACCTTTATTGAATCTCTTGTAAGGCAAGATTTCTATTTATCAAATATCCTCAAGTGCTCTTCAAGGTAGATACAAATCTATCTCTTGTATCGCCAAGTCATCAGGTCCACTTCAACTACAAGCTTATGTGTTTGACCCAAAGGCCTCCTTGCGCTGCAGTATCTCATCGTTGCGCTGATCTATGCCCCTTTCGAGGTCAGTCCCCAGCCGAGTTGATAATCCTTCAACCTTTGTATCATCAAATTGTAGTAAATCAGAGGACAAACCCTAAGCAAACAAAAAGCAGAGAATTCACTGATTGACAC